CTGATTTTTGAATAAAAGGAATAATTTAATATTGTTTATCTTAATTTCACAATAAATATTATAATGAAATCTATTTTTTAAATTTTTTTGGAAATAAACATTAGAACAACAGTAGTTAAAAACAATATTTTCGATACCTGCAAATGTTTAATGGTTAATCGCAAAGAACTAAAAATGAAACAATTTTAATACATTTTGAGAATCGGTATAGTTTTCTTGATTAGGCATGTAAGGTTTATACTTAGGAAAAAGGCATACAAAGAAACAGCTTATTTCGGAAATAATCAGTTCTAGTAAAGATTCAATAATAGTTTTTGTAATATTCAAATTTAAGAAATTAATTTTTACGATAAAAAAAAAAAAATTATTAAATTTTTCATTGAATTTTTTCGCACTGTTAATTAGGTATGCAATGGAGTTTAAACTTAACGGACCCTATTCTTACGAGTAGATGTGTTGGAACATATTTCCGGCCGACAATCCTCAAATTGTTTAAATTCCAAAATAATTTTACGTGTATGTAAATAATGTTTTTATTACATAGATACACGGAATAAGAGTAAAATGTTAAACATATCAAAATAACTGAAAAAAAATTGTAATTTTCACATAGGTTCATATGAAAAAAAAAAATCACTCTATATCGTATAAAAATAACACATTTGAGATCTATATGTATTTTTATTGAAAATTGTGAAAGTAATAATGTAGTTTCCCAGAGATTACCTATTGGTACGAATTTCGTTCAAAACACCACGAAATATGTGATTATATCTACGAATTTTCAATTGTTAAAATCCTAACCTGACCTGATATCGTGTTAGTTCGAAGTTAGGTACTGATACCAAGACAATATTATAGGTAGGTATCGATTTTTCCGAAAACAATGTCATCCGACGAGCGCGTGTTATTGATCGTTTAGTTTTTTCTTAGATTTTTATTCTTATTTTTTCTCATTATTTTATTGATATTTTTAACTTGCTGCATTACTTAATGACGTTTATGACGCAAAAAAGAAATACATACTTTTTTTTTACCTATGTGATATACTTTTTATATAATAACAACATAAACACCCGAGAATGCGAATAAAATATAAGAGATGTTCGTCGAGACGTCTGAAATAGAAAAGCGTATTATATACGTAGTTTTCTTTTCGCTCGGCTGAAAGTTTTGCTCGTAAATTAATTATGATTGTTATAAACAATATTTGTATATATTTAGTCGCTAAATTTTTCCATGCGCGTCAACTCATCAGTGTCTGTTTATCTATATATTATTATAATAATATAAGTGACTGCGCAATTTTCGTTTAAAACTTCGACGCGTAAAACTTTTTATTAAGCGCATCATCGGTCCAACAACGAGGATGGCCTTTTAAAATCCAGCGCGATATACTAAATGATTTTTTTTAAAATCACGGCTCGATGACATTCTCGGAGAATTTTTGGCAAATCTGATTAGGTTTTTTTTTCCATCAACCGTCGTATAATTTTTACCCCTACTACGTATGTTCCCTAAACTTTTTTAAAGTTTTGATTTTCAAATCATCCCTTTTTAACGCAGATTCGAAAAAAAAAATATTTTCCTAAACCGTCGGTACCTATGCACGATGCTTATATTAACCGGAGTTAACATTTTATGAGTTCATATTTTATCTGATTACAGTTTAAAATTTAGACCGGAGGAGTAAAAATGTCATTAATTTTAAAATGGTAACCCTTCTCTATTCCTCCAGTCTAGGTTTTAAACTGTTATAAATATTATAAATAATTAATTCAATGTTTGTTAAACGATACGGTTAATGACTGTGAAAATAACCAACATCAATTTTAGACTTGAAACGACGGAAAATAATCGTTAGATTATGGTGAATAAATCACCATGTATATTATTCTGAAACCAAAATCGCAGACAATTTGATACTATCATATTTGTAACAAAACGGTGTTCGGTTTTTCATTTGTAAAATTTGAATTTTGAAATTTAACGCAAGAAACATAAAAAAAAAAATATCATAAGATTCTTCGTTCCATTCAGAATCTAAAAAGGTTATAGGTTTATTTAGATCGATCGCATCATTGGCGAAAATTTATTTTGAATTTTTAAAGATTTTTGTATGGATTTAATTTAATTTATAAATGACATAATAATTGAAAAGTTACACAAATGATTTAAAATTATTATACTGTTCATTGTTCAACGGTTTAAACCACAGACAGTGAGACAATGGAATATGTGTGCTTGGTACATATTTTTGTGAATAGTTTTGGAAAGAGGATAAGCTTCAACAGTTCTAACTTATGGGATTTTTTTTTTAAATATTCAAATGATGGGATTTTTGTTTTAGTTGTTGAGTAAGATGGGATGGGCGAATGGGTTGTTCATGAAAATATTTTCCATTCAAAAGTATCGAATTCACCACGCCATTGAATTTATGTACGGTGAATTGATTAGTGATTTTGTGACGTACTTTTGCAGAAGCGTCGTCGAGCAAACATTATGGCACGTCAGACTCCGCGGGTGCTAATGGACAACAAGAGGACGAAAACAGTGTTGGTCAGTTGGAGCCCAAAGACGACGAGACCAGCAGGGTAGGCGCCGCCAGGGCAGCTGCTTTCATATTGATCTCCTGTCGGCCGTCCACTTCGGAGTCGCCAACGGCTTCACCAGGCAGGGCGAAAAGGGCGAAAAAACTGGGTACGCTTACCTAACAATAATTAACATCACTATCACCACTAAAATATAATATCATTATTTCTACGTCGTCGGTTTATCTTGATTTCGCAGGTTACGGACGCACTGGGAGCGATCCGGCAGTGCACAGTACTTCTTCCATGAAAACGTACAATTTAAAATGGTATCAGAGGGACCAGCAGAGAAGGCATTCGACCAAGAACAGGGAATCCAAATGTACGCCGCCAAGCCATTGTTCGACTGAACAACTGATACAAAACTATTCTAAAGTAAACAATTCAAGTTTTTTTTTCAATTTAATGTTTTTTAAAAAATTACCGAAATCGACGATTTGCGATTTCAAAACGTTGGTAACAAATTGTCTATCACACATAATATACTTAAACAGCGGCTGACTTTATTTCGACAATTCAGATTTCCGTTATGTTACACACGATGTCGAAAAATATAAGCTCCCCATATTATGATGAAAAAACTCGACGCACTGTCATAAATTTCGTGTTATATCCTATAGGTATATTATATTATTATATACTTACCTACAGTAAAATAAATGTCAACAATAATATATCATTATTATTATTATTATTATATGATTTGATCAATTTGATTCGTAAGACTGCAAGACCGAAATTACTACGCGACACATTACAAAATACAAATTTAAAATCTATTCTTAAACGTTTGTAGACTTTGAAAGGAACTTTGAAAAAAACTCTATATTTTTATACTATCGTCTGGGATTAGTTATTGTGTCAATTATTATTCGTTACACGTAGTCGTAATTAATAATCATGATTAGGTAACTATTTGCAAAATACAATTCATCTAGATTGGCAAAAGCATAGACAATTTTTTTCCCTTTTAGAGGTTCTTTTTTAATTTGTTCTATACAAATTTAAAACAATAATACAATAGTATACTAAACAGTTTCCTATTTACGTTTAATTTTTTATTGAACGAGATGTAAATATTACATTTATTCTTATTGATTAGGTACCTATAATGGATATACTAGACGCTTTTTTTTAAAATTTCTCTCCTATGAATCTTAAATTCTCGACTATCGTAGTGTTACACAATACCCTGGGTTTCGGTTTTACAATCTATAAAATTGACTGCTTTAATCTGTACTCAAAATATTATTACTCGGCTAATGCTCGGTACTGGCCAATTCGTTAATAAATAATCTACCCAAAACACCTCCAGTCGTTTGCGTGTTTGTAGATTCGGCTTTTTTTTTTTAATTTCATAAAAAACGTTATAATACCTATTCGTGTCACCGTATATCTGTCTAATAATGGCCTACAAATAACCGTCGTACACATTTCGAAAATCCTTTTTTCTGATTTCGCTTTCCGGCTCTACAGACGTTTAAAATAATTTAAAGAAACGAAAAAAAAAGCAAAAAAAAAGTAACGTTTAGAATAAAATTTATACGGTACCTTCTATTCGCGACAGAACTACTGCTGCGTCGCGTAAATTTTTTGGACGTGACGATTTATCACGTTGCTTTCATCAAACGTACGGAATAGTAATGAATACAACAACGCCCGCGCCGAAAATACCCAGCATGTTTTTCCTTGTGTTTGGCAGACGTTTTTTCCTTTTTATTTATTATTTTTTCTTTTCTACGTTTCAATTGTAACCCGTCAATCAAAATGCAGCGATCGACGTTATTGAATAACGATGGGCACTTAAAAAAAAATAATAAATAAATACTACTAACGGAAACGTCTGGAACCCGAAATCCGAGCCATCCGCTATATTAAGCAAAGCTGCCGTCGGGTTGGGAGGGGGAAAAAAGCCGGATATAATATCCTGTAGCAAAATTCGAAAACGATGCGAGTTGTTGGTCCATCTTTTTGCGATGAAAATTCGGTTTATTATATAACTAAGACCGGTTGCGGTTATTGTTGAAATCGATACTACCGTGATACTGTGACATGAGACCGTAATATTTTATTGTCTTATAACATATTATATAGGTTCGTGGTGCGAATTTATCCGATAAGTGCAACATAAAATCTAAGCCCAAGTGCAATATTATAGTTAGACACGGGCATAAAGTTCACCCGAGACTGTACAATTAGTTATCTAGCCCCCTCCCCTCGAAATTTCCTTTAACCGCGGATTTCGTTTGTTGTGATATTATTTTGACGCGTTTTTCCTCGGGTTTCTGTTTACTTTTCGCAGGACGAGTGTTCCGTAAACAGTCAGAGCACGCTGAACTCCAAAGACAAATCGAAAACGTCGTCGGTGAGTCGCATCGAACACAAAGCGCTGGTCCATCATTCGGCCCCGATCGGCTGCAGTCCGGACGCCGGCATTACGGTCGTTGAGCTGTCGGAACAACAACTGCAGCAGCAGCAGCAGCAGCAGCAGCAGCAGCAGCAACAGCAGCAGCAGCATCAGCAGCAGCATCAGCAGCTGCAGCAGCATCAGCAGCTGCATCAGCAGCAGCATCAGCAGCAGCAACAGCAACAGCATCAGCAGCAGCAACAGCAGCGGTCAGAAGAAATTGTTACACAGGGATTAATACGATGAAACGGCGACCAGGACGATCGGTACAGGCTACCGGGGGAAGGAATTGGGGGTGGGGGGTGGGGGGAGAGGATTTCGAATAAAAAAAATAAATCGAAATTTACGACGGACCGTGTGGGCCGGGGACACGACGATAATAACAATAATAATAATAAAACATTACGTAAACGTGAAAAAAATAGATGCGCGTGTATATAACTATAGTGTTACGCCCGCAACAGAATAAAACAAATTCTGCCCCAAGTTTACCGGGCACGTACCCGATTTTTTTTTTTTTCTTCGCGAGTTTTGCGCTTTTCGTAATACTTCGGTTATTGGTATTGTACCGCAGTACGGTTCGTTTTCCGTGGACACACGGAGAATGCCAGCGGACTGCCGAAAAAATGTATCCGTAAACACCTGCATCTATTTTTGCCACGCGTACATAACGATAACATAAAAAAAATATTATCAAAACATTCGCAACTTAGAATTATTGTGTCGCGTACCCACGATAATAGTAATAATAATAATACGGGATGATCGGTTTTCCGCGGTGCGCTACGACTGCGCGTACCTTTACAAAAAAATGTCTCGAAAAGTGTCCATTACCGTTTTTTCGGAATTCGCTTTTTGGCCAATTTAAGATAATAATATTTGCGTGCGTGCGTATACGTACCTACTTCTAAAATTTCGTTGCGTTCTAAACCGTAACGCGTTATTCTCAGGACCGCGTGTACCTCACCTAGATAATATAAATCAAATTTTCCCAAAAAGAATTCCGAACGAATCGAATACAAAGTCGGAGTGTCTCGCGGAAAATCGCGATCACTCTGTATAATATTATTATTATTATTGTCACATATTGTCGCCCGCTTGACCGCCGTCGTTTTGTCGCGGCTCTGCCGTCGAGCCGTCCGCCGCCGGATCGTCGACCCGATAATAAGGGATTTTAAAACTCATTTACTTCCACGATATTATAATAACAATAATAAATAGTCGTTATATTATATTATACGAGGAACAATATTTTTATATAAGTTTTATAAGCGCGTTGAATTAAAAAAAAAAAATTATTAATAAATAACAATAATAATATTATTACTATTATTTATATTATCTTCGTGTGCGAGTATTCGAAATATTTCCGTGTCCGGGTGAAAAACTGAAGTCTGCAATACGGGTACTCTGAATCTTTTTCCAGAAGTATAAGTATACAATTATGTATCCTTGGTTCCAGGAAAGGACTTATCTGAGTTAATTTTGTGTAGTTTTCAATACGAGCAAATTAAATGTTGAGAATTGTTAAATGGCTAAATTGCTACTATAATTATGACTAACGCCTTTTTTGCCAAACAAAAAGTATATGGTGACTAAGTACTTTAATTTTCACCATTTTAGTCACTCGTGACTTATTGTCATTTACGCCAAAAAATAATGGGAAAAATTACATAAGACAAAATTTTAGAAAAAAAAAATACCAAAAATTGACGTGGGACCAAAGATACGAGATATTTTATGAATTTTCCAAAAACAAGCTTAAACATTTGATCCTATTCGACCCAATCAGAAATATTTTGTAACTGGTACTTAATAATTTAAATAAATAAATTATTAATTAAAAATATTCTCTGGCGTTCGGTGAAAAATTATGAACGTTATTCTTTTAAATATTTTCGTATATTATCAAAATGCTAGATATACACAATTTCACGGATACAGTGTGTATTGTAATAATAAAATTATTAGGTATTATTTATCTGTAATCTGTGGTATTTGATTTTCATAATGTTTCATGGTTATTCGGTGTCTTTTATTATTATACAGGTGTTTTACAGCTAGTGTTATCCGTATGCTGATAACTCTATCAATATTCAATTTTTTTTTTTTTTTCAATCGGGTTTTGCTCGAGAGGTCACACGTTTGGAGAAAAATAAAATGAATAAAATAAAATTGCATCTCTTAATCACCGAATGAAAGTATAAATTTAATTTTTCTTTACATACTTGTGTATACACTCGCACAAAACCTGATTAAAAAAAAAATAATAATGAATATTGCCAAAATTATTAGTATACGAATAACATTGTAGGACACTCTGTATAAAGCACTTAATCTCAATAATATACCTATTTTAATAAATATTTTTGGATATTCTGGACATTCTCGATGACGATTACCCGAACGGAAATAGGTTATACAAATAAAGAGAAATATATACAAAACAGCAACAAACTTAATATTTCGAACTCGTATACATCCATCCTCCTCCAAAAAAAAAAAAAAAAATAAAAAAATAAAAAAAAAAATAAATTATATACTACTATATCTAAATGTATAATTATTATTATTACTATTATATAAATTAACTTTATACTATACAACAATTCCACGAACATATACTTGTTGCGATATCTCCCGAGATAATGAAGATAATCAAATACTTATGTGGATAAAAAATATTCATATTTCAATTAAATCTCTGCGATAGAAAAAAATATAAATGTAATAACCTTTTATTCTATTACTTTCAACAAATTAGCCAGTTTATAGAGTTTAGCTATTCTCTGAACATTTGAACGGTTTGACTATTTAATTTCATTAACATTATGATATTTAATAGTTTTTTAGTTTACAGAAAAATAGTGTTTAAAGCCTTATTAATTAATTAAAGCCTTAATAGTGTTTTAAAATGATCTCATCTCGTTTTTTTTTTTTATTAAAAATCTATTACGTAATATTAAAAGATTTTTATGTTTAATATAGGACATAGATAATTTTTATCATTTTTCTGTAAACTTTTTTTAAAATTATATAAGAAATATTCATAAATGCATACAATAAGTAGATGCCTACATATAATATGAGTCAGGGAATAAAAAACAGTATTGGGGTTTCAAGAGGGTAAGTTATTCTTTTTTTAAACTATAGTTAAAACTGAGTTACTTTAATCTAAAAACTAACCAACTAATAAAATACTGTTAAGTAGAATAGAAGTTATTTTTTAAAATGTTCTAAATTCCTAACTTAGTTAGATGTTAGTTAATGATAATAAGTAACTTAAGTTAAAATAAAAGTTAAAAGTCAGTTAGGCGTTTTTTCATAATTTAAAAACCGGAACGAAATTATTGGTAATAACTGATAGTGCAATGATTTAATTAAATTGGTAGTTTAATCAAAATGTTCGAAAGAACAAATTCTATAATAGACATCTTCAAATATATTTCAAAAATAATTTAAAATAAAGTCATTTTTTACCAAAACTTAATTCAAATATCAATATATTTGTAGTTCTTACCTCTGTAAATTGTGTAATTATGATAATATAAATTTTATAATTATGTATAAACATAAAAAAAGTTACAGATTTTGATTATTTTGATTATCCCAGGAGATGTAGAAATGGAAATGGGTAGAGTTATATCTTCGTGGGACACTGTATATTATGATATAATTAATTTTATTACATTGTAATATACATATACTATAGCAAGTAAGAGACATGATTTTATAATAATTTATTTAATAAATACTAATATTTGGCGCATATACAAGCGCAAGGATAGAGTAATAGCTAGGTATTTTTTTTTTTTTTTTTTTTTTAAATAATATAATATATGAATATTAAAAAAGAAAAACCATTCTGAAATTTAACAGTTTTTATACAAAATGTTACTCAAAACTATTACTATAACATAACATTGTACAACAATAATAGCTAGGTACCTATATATGTGTATACTTATTTTATAAAACTGCTATTTAATATAATATATTTTTACATTTAATATTATATGATATTAGGTGTAGAAAAAAAAAAAAAATTCTGTGTGTGATGAATATATTTTAATTTACATTTCAAAATAATATTACATAAATATAATATACTGTGTAGTGATACGTAGGGATATTAAAATATTGAGCTGTTGAAATATTAATATTATATTGTTTTCATATCGTTATAATATTATGTGGTATTTATGTGACGATTCTCATCGTTATAATAATATTATGGATCGATTATATTAAGACAATAATACATAATATTTATTATTAAAATTATTTTAATATTATATATCATATCCGAGAGCACCCATATTATGTAAAGAGCGAAGCGAAAATATTGACAAAGTATTAACCATGATACCATTCTATACATATTATTATAATGGTAGTGAAAATTTGAAATTCAATTCCGAAGGCCGCAGTTTGTAAAACAATAATAATAATAATTTATTTTACGCGTAAGATTAAATGAATTAAGAATAAAAAAAAAATACATACATAAATATATTAATATTACGATACAATATACTATAGTTAGTGTGAATTATAATAATTATGGTACTTACCTACCAATATAATATATATTATTTAATAAGATTTAAGTTTTCTATTGTGATTTTTTTTTTTTTCAAATTTTCAGTGTTATTATTATAATTATTATAATATTATAACATAGGTACATATAATAGGTAATGTTATACCTATATACCTTTTAAGAGGCGTGTGATTTATTTATATAATAATGTGTTGATTAGTACATAAAATAATATTCAAATATTGTGTGCTATTATAATACACTATACATTTACTATTTTGAATAAATTGTCGTTCCCATACATTATATTATTGTGTTTTAAGATAATACAGTACCTGTATACCTATATAAATATATAGATATACCTATATAAATATATAGCAAAAAAAAAAAAAAAAATAGTAGTATAGTATATACAATGCCTACTGAATAGAATTTTTGGTACGTCTCTGTATATCTATTGTTATCTCAGTTAACTATCTGACTAGATAAGTGATTGTATGATTAAAACATAATAGGACCTCATTAAGATAATATTAAACCAACAATTACAACAACAAATCAAGCCAACAATCAATAGCCAATACTTTCAGATTTTTAGTATATCTCTCTACAATTATAATCACATGCTCATATAATTTGATCACATAGACAATAATCTGAACCTTAACTATTAAAATCTACATCACGTGTATGATGATTGTGTACTTTGTATTTGATAGAGTTTTTTTTTATATCTTTTATAGATCTTCCATAATTTTCCTTCATACAATATGATACAAACAACAGAAGGTATTCTCATCATTTAGTCGGTCCGTGTAAAGATTTTTTTACACATATCTTGATTCATAATAACCTTTTTCATATAATGTTTTGACTATATGAAAAATTACATTTTTATATCACAATAAAATATATTTATATGTTATAATATGTATAATATGTTACAAATATAATATTTATTGCATTTTGGATCTAGATATACGCGAAGTTTTTTTGATATCTAAAGTAGTTTTCATAATAATTGGGAATAACTAAAAAAAGACGAAAAATACAATTTTTAATCTAGTTTGTGAGTAAGTAAATCGTTTTTTAATTTGTGTGGAAGTTTTAGTAATAACTGAGAAAAATCTGAAAATTCAATATCAAAATAAAAACTGATTAAGATTATCACCATAATACTTTAAAATGAGACAAATGTTGAGAGTAACTGATCAGATAGAATTAGTAAAAACTTATATTCTACGGATAAATAAAATGGGAGATGGAAAACAATGTCATTAATACTGTGAGGTCCTTACATTTTAGAACCAAGTGCGCGTGCATCGTCTATACATGTATTAATCTACCTACACAGGGCCAGTATTTATGTTTGAAATCTTTTTCAAGAAGTGAACTAGTGACTGTTTTATAGTAAACAAAAACACGTTATTGTTATTAATAGCCTTATAGGTAAGTACTTATCTATCAAACATTTTTATTCAGGTAAATAAATACTTAAAATAAAGTGCGTGAAAATCGGTATAACTGGGAGTGTGAAAAAAGAGTTCACAGAAAACTGACTGTTTCGAAAGAGTACATAGGTACAATTCGTGGATCATACCCATGCTCCCGAATCATACAGATCAACAGTTAAAGATTTTCGATATATATGATATATATATATGTATGGATATATAGATAATATTGAGCTCATGTTGATAATTCTATTTTTTCAACGGAATACGTTCAGTATTTTATAATATTGAATTAAAAAACGATATTTTTTGAGAATAGAGTGATTAGAATACCATGTGGTATTATAGCATCAGTTTGTATAGGTTTCCTGTAAATACTAAAATAAAATGTATTGTTTGCTAGGGAAACTATAAGATCTAAGAAATTTAATTTATTATTTATTTGTACTTCAAGTGTAAATTGAATGTTTTTATTTATTTTAGTATTTACAGGAAACCTACACAAACTGATGCTACAATACCACATGGTATTCTAATCACTCTGTTCTCAAAAATCAATACATTTTAGATAATAAATAATAACAAAATTTTTAAGGGCCAGTTGTACAGTACTCGGTTAAACTGTGATTAAACTATAATCAATGATTTTCAAAAATACTTTTATCATGTTGTACAGCACCGGTTATATCCTTAAATCATTGATTAAATATCCATTAAGTTAAACGACCATCCGAGGTCGGTTAAACACTGGTTAGTTAATTTTGTTATTTATTTCAAGTTATCAAAGTCGTTGTTATCAATTTATTTTTTCAAAACTCATATTTCTTGTGAATTTGTTATTAAACTGTCTTATAACTGAGTTGATTTCAATGTTTTATCAATAAATTATTAAATATGTACAGCAACTTTGAAGATAATACCGATTTTGATGAAGAGGAATTTAAAAACTTCCAAGCGTTAGTTTTTTTTCCAAAGCGACGAAAAATATTCCGACCTCGAACTGATCATTATACATGGTGGAGAGATGATGCATTTTTTGATAAATTTCGATTATCAAAGAATACAGTTCGTTACTTAGTAGATATGATGCACGACCGTATTTGTTCACGAACTGGTAGGTATTTTATTTTTTATACATTTTTTGGGTTATTAGTTTTTTGTTCGTCAGTTTAGGTAATTGCTCCACGATGATCAAAGAAAATTAAAATTTAAAAATCTAAAATATTAAAAACAAAAAACCAAATGCAAAAACAGAGGATAATTATTATTTGAGTAAAATGATAAAATAGTTGGTGATAAGATAGAGTATCACGCGAATGAATACAGGCTGTAATACAATAAAATGAAAATATTGTATAAAAACAATCACATCATTAGTTAATCATTGATTAACTAACCCAATAACTTAATCGTTCACCATACAACACAGAGAGATTTAATCAACGATTAAAATTTGATTATTGATAAACTAATTATTGTTTAATCACGGAATTGTCCAACTGCCCTCATATTTCTTAACATATCTATGTCCAATAATAACTCGTTTTAAAAAATCTATCCTATTAAAATAAATTATTTCTATGTGAAACGACCAATTTGTATTTTTTCTATTTGTATTCCTTCATTTAATTTTTCATATTCAGTCGCGTTTTACATTTTGACGGTGATATACCTGATGATGAATTTTTAATTCGAAACCGGTCGTATAGTAATACACTTATCATAATACTCCAGGTAACTTATTTTATTTATTTTTTATTTTTATGTACCTTTACATTTTTTATTTAACTTAAAATTTAAACACATAATTCACAATTGAAAATTGTTTTTTTAATGTGATTAATAATTGAGCCAATCATAATCGACAGTCGTCAGTTTGATAGTTTGCTCTTATAGAATGTGACGATAATACGTTAGTGATAAACAACGATTTAATTGAACTTTGGAAACGATAATATGTTGGGTTATATTTCTCAAATCATGTACACGAATTTGGATCAACAAATTTTCTAAATGATCTCGATTAAATGATTAACTGTTGCATAGTTGTAGAACATCCGTTGACAATGTCAAATAATTTGTTTAAAAAAGTAGTAGTTTTTCAGTACATACCTTCAGAATTTTCAAATTAATTTTTTTTATCTCCTATAAAATAAATATTATTTCAGTTTATAATTACCTGCGTAAAACGAAATGCACAACTAAACTGACCATCCAGATAGTATGAGCATAATATCCTCAACTTATTGATTGAAAACTTGACTAGCAACAGAAACTTTTTTTTTTTTTTTAACTTATCTGGGTATACGTGTGCATCAGTCAATTTTAAAGCTATCCTTTCGCCAATATCCAGTCGACATTTATCGATAACAACCAATCACATCTTACCACCTTGCATTTTATATATACCTTTTTTTTTTTAATCTCTATTATTTACTCTATGATTTAGAGAATTCAGATAACATTCTTAAAATTTATTAGATATACAAATTGTTAGTAAATAGGTAGATATATATTTAAAATATTTATCAAATACAATATATAATAAAATATTACCTATATTCTATATGTTTATAGTATAAATATATAATTTTTAAAATAATTATTAAATCTTAAATATAATACAAATAATAGAATAGTAAAACTGACTATGACTCTTCTTATCACGAAATATCAAAAACGTCAAGGAATATAATATGATAAATGATGATATTAAAAAATATGTAATAACACGACATGTTAGGTTACGTCGTGTAAAAGTGCAAAACGGATATATTAAATTTGAATATGAGTGGGCAATACATGGAACGCCATCTATTGTACACTTGAGATGACAGTTATTCGGTGGGCTACAGTAGTTACCGAATGGACCGATGCGGCGAGCGAGCTACGCATGCGCTGTATAGTTTTACTATTTGATGGTAAACACGGATAACAACAATTCGCTGAGATAGCGTTTTGTTTATTTGTACGCGCGTTTGATTACAACCCGTTGGTTTTTGAGTGATACCGCTGTCGTCCGACGATTGTGTTCTGTTTCTAAAATATTATATTTTATTATTATATATTTTTTAAGATTTAAAACCCCAAAGTGTACCGAGTAAATAATAATTTATAGTGGCCATCGTCGGAGGAATATTGTGTTCGTAAGTTTTTTTTCTCTGTTCGCGAACCTCCCACGGATATCGAATACCTAGTTGATTTATTTTTTCATTTATTTAGGATATACAGCAGACGTTGCTGGTTTGTTTATTCGTTCGTTTGTCTTGTATCGTTTCTGGTTAAACGTAAAGCCCCAAGTGATATGTGCGTAACGTGACCAAACAATGAATAACCGTCCATCGTATTACCACAGCCATTCGTCGTTCTCCAACAATTCGCTGGCAATTTGCAAGGAGATCCAACGATTTGAGAGCGTACATCCGTCCATTTATGCCATTTATGATCTCATCGAGCTCATACCCGACTCAATAGTTGCTCAACAAGTCAGGGATCATGTTGTATGCATCGAAGGTTAGTAACGCTTTTTTTACTTTATGCCATCAATCCTCATAAGTACCTTTGTGTACAGATTTGACCTATTCTTTGATGATGTGACCAATAGATATATTTGTTGGTTGGATATTTGTGTTCAGCTGATAAGTTTGAAAATAATATGTTCATTTGACCCTCTTAAAAGTTTTTTAAGTAATTTCACTTGATTGTATTATTCTATTAGTTTTCAATGCTTATAAGTTACCACTTTATAGGAAACTTTGTATCAAGAACGTTTAGATATATTATAGAAAAAAAACTACATTTCTTAGTTATTTGTTAAAATATGTCCATTAGAAATAAAAATAAAAATTAAAAATTTTTTATATCTATAGATTTCATAGAAACTACAGTTGCTCATCAATGATAATTATTTTTTACTTTATTAATTATCAGCTGTTTAATTACATTAGTTGCCTTACTAATAAATAGTTAAATAATTATTTTTATATCTCTGGAAAATATAGTTTTAACAATTACTTAGCATATTATCTTCTTATTTCATTTTATATGATTATTAGCCACTTAAATTGTCGGATAACATTCAACAAAATTTTTTTATTAGCTTTCATTAATTAGGTATTACAATTTATATATATATATATATACACCTACATATCATAAAATAAATAATTGGTGACAGTTAAGAAGACATTAGATCAATTAATTATAATTAGTAGTAACAATTTCTTATAGAATATAGATCATAAATGTCATATAATAATAATTTCTGTGTTTTATTCATTTATTGTCATATTATTATTATTATTTTTTTTTATGGATCTATCAATATTATTAAAATAGTTATCTGGGTACACCTCTATTCTATAGTAAAACCAATCTATAATAGACATATTTCATTGTGATTATAATAGCTATTTTTTATTTTACAGAACGTTTAATAATTATGGCGTTTATATAAAATTATTTTTCATACCTACCTATGCATTGCGATAATACCCGAATGGAAGATCGGTTTGATTCAGTTTGAACATACCGCTTCAATAAAGATTTAAATATTGGTAACCAATTCATTTTTAAATATTAAAAATAGCCAAATACTTACATATATCTGTACACATACCTATACCCGAGTACCTATCCGAGTAACTACCTGTATTAGGCACCTACAATGTATATTTTCTATAATGTACCTACCTACATTTATATTTCTTATCAATATATGTTTACAAGAGACAGGTATTTATACTTAATTAATCGACCTCACAAGTAAATAATAGCACTTTCAAATTATATTATTCAATTTTTTTTGTACCTAAAAAATATGTTTAGAAAATCTTTGTGTATTCTAAGTGTACCTATCTAAATAGAAACAGTTAGTTAAATAATTAAATCTGTAATTAACAAATCATAACATATAACATGCAAATAACAAGGGCTGATCTAAGACAAGATAATATAAGAGGAGGAGAGCAGTGGTAGTTGAGAGGATCCCCTAAACAAAATTACTATTAAGCAAAAAAAAGAAAGAGATGATACTACTGAAGTTGAATGTTGAAGGAAGGAAGTTGAAAAGGTAGTACACATAATGCTATTTAATTTATATCTGTAAGCACCCGGTAAGCACCAGTAAACCATTGCTATCTAATTTTTTGACTGGAGTAAGATTTCTGGAAGAAAACTTTTTTCATAGACAGAAAAAAAGTAATAACAAAAATAAAAATACATCATAGTACATAAATATATTCATCTCTCCGTTTTGTTTTTTTTCCTTGGAAATGTTTTATTATATATGCATTAAACAATTAGTAATTAGTGGAAGTAAAAACTTTAGCATAGTCTACAGTCTGGGCTGGAGGTGAAGGTGAGGCCACTGGGCTCTCCCTTCTAGATCCGCATCGTAGCAATTTTTAAAATTTATGTGAGGCATAATACATTTATGATGAGCTCAATGATGAATCAAGCCAAGAGTTTATTGGAGAGTGAACACCCCCCTCCCCTGGATCCACCGTTGGCACATAATATACTATATTAGGCAAGTAGGTACTTATGTTAATAATATTATGTTTTAACCCTTGCGGAATATTTTCTGTAATGGTTGCTATGGACTTGAAAGAAAACCGCGGATAAAAATACAATAATTTTACTTCCGCTTTAAGTATAATAATATGTACCGCGACCAATTGACCTAATTTTTTTTTGCATTTTCAATGTCTTTCCCCGCCATCATTTGGTATAGAGTCATCGGGTAACCGGTTAGTGTATGGACGTCTATGTTGTTTGGCTTCTCAAACAAAATTACGTATGTGTAAGTATTGCCCATAGCAATCTGGTCGTCGCCGCGTAAGTTCGAATTTAAACACGTCCCGTGTCCGTGCGGTGATTTCAATATGCCGCCGCCACGCCGGGACCGCGTAGTCAAATCCGATGAAGTCACCGGCATGCTTACATTTTAAACAAGTCCACACAATAATATTTTCCTCGATATTTTCGTTTACTAATACGATTATAATTTCGAACATTTCGCTCCGGTGAATAATTTTGATTACGGTCCGTGATATTATTATGCCAGGTTTTATTGTATTTTAGATCCTGAACGGAACGAGGAATGTATTGGTTTTGCCTCGACTTTTAATTTGTGTTTATTTCTTGTCTGTAAAGAACTTTTCTACCAGAAATCTTACTACGATTAAAGATTGTAAGGGATTCTTTTGTAGCGTTTTTAATTTAATCGTTATTGAATTTAGGAGGTCACTTTTTTTATTTCCCTATAGTAGTTTTCTAGTATAATAAACGAGAAAACGGTTGTAATTTTTTTTTATCGATTTCTGGATTACTTTGGCAACAACGGGTAGAATACTCTGCTCAGAACCGTTTTTCGTTAGTTATGGTTTATCGTTGCGTACAGATTTATAACTCTGTATACCATCCTTTCCGACTTCCCTATTAAAACAGTTGCCCGCCCGTTAGCAGGTCGGCCATTTTTCGTTATTGCTACCGAATTCTTTTCATTGCAGAATTTTAGCGAAAAATCACTTAATCATCAACAGGTAATTGGTACATGTCACATGTTTATTTATTTTACAATTTATACGCCACACTGTGGTTGCAAAGGGATCGAATTATAAACCCGTGTAAATAATGTCGTACTATCCAATTGATGAAAATACAACTTTAGTCCTAATCGATTCAGCGGTAATGTTTCTCATGCACTACATAAAGGGCCGATATATAATAATGACGTAATGGTAATAAAGTTATAGTGAACTGCACTTTAATTCACAGCGTAGCCGTGCAGTTGACCATATAACATTTTGTTTCGTTTGACTTACGTTATTTTCAGTAAATTAAAGCGACGAAGGATATTTTGCAATCCGAGTGTTTTATCAAAATTGAATTATCGTATTTCAGCAATTTAAAATTTCCGATAAGAGTAAACAACTAAAATGATAGATATAAATTTGTATTTACCTGATTTAAAATTAAAAAAATGTATTCTGATTTCGACGGTCGCTATTATATATATATTGTATTATTATTATCAGTGTGAAATCGGCGCTGCAGTTTAGTGATTAAAAAAAAAAACACTAGTTAAAACTTAAAATAAACCAAATTTCCGGAGTAAATTTCCAAATAAATAAATATGAACATGTAAATACCTATTAATAACCGAAAAAAATGATTTTCAACTTATGCAGTTAAGTGTTTGCGTATGTTTTTGGATTGCATCCATTGATAATTGGCAAACTATAGCGATCGTACGCTGCGAAACGCAACTAATTCCTATATAATAAATATAGGTACCGTTTTAAATTTAGAATATTAATCGTATTTTTGATTGGCTTTTGATAATATTTTTATTATTATTTTCAAATTATTGTACCTACACAACTTATTTTTAAAAAACAACGGAACAAAAAATACTTCAAATTCGTCGATGACGTATAAACCAAAATTAAGTAAAATAAAGTATATAAGCTTATTTGTAAAAAAACAAATTGTTATCGTTATTAATTAGGTACCTATACCATTTTTTTTTCATCTTTCATAAATTAATAATAAATAATAATGCAGTATTTATATTAAATTTTTATTAATTCAAAAATATGTATTGGTTTTTATTGCTTTTACAGTAATGTGTGTTTTATTTTTCAATCTAAATATATTTTCGGGCCGTATAGTTATCAAAATGTGTTTGACCTATTAAAATGGTGTTGAAATTAAACGGTTTTAATTTAATTTTTATATTATACAGGTTAAATAATAGCTATATAACATGAAATCACAAAAGAAATCGAATACAGTAATAATTATTTTTTTTTGGTTTTGTGTTGCAATGTTCGGAAAGTATAATAATACAATCCTATACGATAATGTATTAATTGTGTAGGCATTTATCAAATATCTATAGGTAATATAATATATTTATGTTTTCTAAAATACGTAAAAAAAAACATTCTAAACGGTGATAAAATTATTATTGGTTGGTAAGTTCACAATTTCACAAAACAAATGTATACAGTTGCACTCATGTCGGGTTGCTTAGTTCTGTTAACTGTTAGTTTTAACAGATAACGGTTACTGTCAAGCTATAATGTTATTGATCAGATAATTTGAAAGAATTATTGTATTAATTGAATATCCATGGTTACAACCATACAAGTTATCAAGCTTGGTTATTAGTTTATTCGTTATAACAAAATTAATATTGAACGATAAGGTGTATCGTGTGCATTAACATATCTGAAATCAGTTCAATAACCTATTGATTCAACAACTTTGTGTTTAATAACATTTTTTCATTTTACAGTACAGTTACTAATTTTACTGAACCGATGACAGTCAGTTATCGGTTCTGTAACGTATCATTCAATCGCCGGCATCAAAATAATAATAATCGTGATAACATATTGTAATTTACTATTATTTACAAGTATATTGGTTTATATAATACATCTTTTACTACTATAGTCTTATGACTCGAAAATTGGATCAAAAATTAATATTATTATTGATATCAATGTTAAGTTAAGTGATTTTTGAGGATTTAAATCCTTACAAATATTGGTTTTTTTTAAAATTTAAATTTAAATATCCTTGATACAAATAAATAAAAATAAAAAAAGAGTTGAATAGGATGTAAGTACAGTAACCCGTCCAATTTGATACGATCTTGTATACCGTCTGTTAGTTTAGTGTATTATTATACTATTGGACGTTTGAAAGTGCAAAGGTTTTATGATCACGTTAGGTTCGATCAATTATTCCTAAAGTGAGTTCGGTTTTCCATTGAGTTTTTTTAGGTTTTACTATACTCTTATCATTGTCAACTTAAACATGTTCGAATATAGAAAGGTTAGGCGTGTGTTCGAGATTATATATTAGGCTGTCATCGAATGATAGATAATCGGTTATATATTGATATAAGTATGTGCATTTATGGTTGAAGTTTGGTAGTGTTTAGATGGATTATATAATGACTCAAATCGAATAAAAATAACATACAAGTATACTTACTTAGGCGAGGTTATAAACATTAGCATTGAATATTATTTGGTTAGCGAAGAAGCTATATTGAAGTTTTACTAAAATAGGGCGTTTTCTCCGGCAGTTTTCCTTATTATTTTTAAAACCTGATAACGGATACATAGGTTTTTTTAGAATTTAATCTTAAAATGGTTTTATTAGATTCTGATTAGTTTTACTGAGATGTGTTGTTGTTGTGTATAAACAATTTTTCTACCAGAATTCTTGTCCCAATCAAAAACTTTGTAAGAACTTTCTTGTAGCGTTTTTGGTCTAATTATTGGTGTATTGAGGAGGATTTTTTTTGATTTTAATAATTGGGAAACACTGGTCAATTGTTCGTATAATTTTTGTTGATTTTTGAGTTACCTTTGCAACAACGGGAAAAATACTATTAATATGTAATACTCCGCTTAGATGAATCATTTTTTGTAATCAATGGTTTATCATTATGTACAGATATGAATTACAATATTTTATGTATATATGTTTCCTTTTAATTTTCCTACTAAAACAGTAGCACACCTATCAGTAGTATCGACTTTTTTTATGCAGGTGTCTCACTGAGATCTGACAAATGCAATAACTTTTTTGTGTTTAATATTTCAAAGTTTTTCCTTATTTGTATAGTTACCATTACCATTATAATATTTTGTGTTTTGTATGTTATATTTTATTATTGATTAAAGAACAAAAAAATATTGTTTTCAAAATCATAGTTGGGTATTTTATACATTTATTTTGAAACAAAATGTCTACGTTAAAAATGTTAACTAATAATGATTTTTTTGAAAATAAATTCAAATTGTTTTCATTGCTACCACTAAAATATAATGTCAATCGATTTAACAATTTTTTCAAGCAAAGTTTAATTTTTATAATAAACAATTTTTGTAAACTTTAAAATATTATAAAAACTTATAGTGATTCATCATTGTTCATTGGTATAATGTTTAATAATCTCGGTTAATCTCTATAAAATATCTTGGATTTTGTAAAATTTTTTTTTTAAAACTTTTATTTCACCAATAAATAAATAAAATTGAGTAATTGAACATAACAATACAGTTATTGTTATTTCATTCGTCGGATATACGTGGTACACTCTGTACAGTCTCTGTTTAGTACCTATATGCTACAATAATTTGTGTAAAATATAATTATCTCTATTCGTATAATCCGCGAAACGTGTATTATGATTGACGACAATAATTGTATTATAATATTGTTATGCTTGGCACTTGAAATACGTTGCCGTCGTCGTCGATGAAAAATATTAAATTAAATTGTATAGGTTCCTATTATAATAGCGCGTACGGAGTATTATAAATCGAAAATTACGACTCTAATCAGTCCTGTCTCATTAAAAATTCGTTCTAGCTATTTGAGCGTTGATATGTAACATAAAAAAAAAAAAATGAAATAAATAAATATATATAATATATATATATATATATGTGTATACAATATTGTATGATATCGATGCGTTCGAAACTGCATTGTGTTTGTTTAATGATCAATAACGCGCTTGTCGTAATCATTATCATAATCGTCATCGTCACCGTGTTATCAAATAGAAATTACCACATTACGGTGTAGTAAAAAGTAAAACGGCCGTCTCCTCTCGTATCATATCGAACAATTATCATTGTTTCCTGTCCGTATATAATATTATTCGTATGTAATAATAATATAACGTGTATGCATATGTATAGTTTCCACACCCATCGCGTTCGCCCACTCCTCGGAAATTCGTATAACGACATCGAATTATTACGACGCGCGCGCGTTTTATTATTAAAACACATTTTCCATTTAGTATACGTATTTTATATTATTTAGCGAATGATATTACTCTATGACTTACCACAGCTGTATAAAATACGTGTATTATTTTACTATACATAAATACCGGCGATCATCGGAATGATACGGCCGTCTCTGTTATCATTATTTACCTACGCGACAATTTCCTAATTTTTCAAAACGGTTTTTATCAATTCGTGTAATAATTATCGCCCCGTAGTCGTATCTGTATGTGTAATTCTGATTCCCCATACCCATTGACCAATAGGTATGTGTAATTCTGATTCCCCATACCCATTGACCAATAGGCGTCATTACGGGGTCGCGAGGCGTTCAGTTACGATCCCGCCGTTTTTATCGCGGTCGCAAATTAATGGCTACGGCTACTTAATGAGTGATTTGTAAAGAAAAGTATAATGACACTTGCTATTTATAGACATTTTAATTTTGCGAGTTTTGTACGTAATTTTTAATCGGTAAATCCTCTGTGGTTAAATTTTTAGACTTGATAGAAATGCTTGAAAATTTAACAGGAGGTTCATTAAGAGCCTTACTATGTGGTCAAAAAAAGAAAATTTGAGTTTAATGTAGTATTTTTTTTTATAAAGGAATTTTAATATCAAATTTTGATGAAAATAATTCAGTAAAAAATTATGTGGAACAAATATAATTTTTCAATTTTTTTTTTTTTTTGAACATATATATAATCCCTTTAAGAACAATGGTGAAGTCAGAATTGAACGGATTGATTAAGTTTCGAAATTATAGCTTTTTGAAGTTCTAATATTATGTGGATATTATATGTTATGTTAAATAACTTAATATTGTCTTCTCTAAAGTATGTTTATCGTAGCTAAATGATTATACATTTTTATATTCATCTTAGAATTCGCGAGTACAAACCCGTGTTTCAAAAAAAAATTGTTTGCATTTTTTTTCTCCCTTTTTACCAAAACAAGGAAAAAATTAATGCATTTTGGGTGTACCTAGAGATCCAAGCGATCACTTACTCGGACTTTTTTGATCCCAAAATACCCCTCGATTTGTTATGCAAACTTTTCTACCAAAAATCTTGCTCTATTGTATCAAGTGTAGCTTATTTTCTAAAAGAAAGCTTAATCTCCACGATAACTTGAGGAAGTCTTTTTTTTTGATTTTCCCAGGAGTTTTCCCAGCAAATGTGAAAAACCAGGAAAAAACATTGGAAAACCGGGAAAATCAGTACAATATTAAATAAATATTATTAAAGAAAATATATAACGCCTATTTTATTATTTTACCATCATACGACATATATATATATATATATTTGACAAAGCATCACTATCAACTGAACTGTACCCAGAATCGTTGTTTTGTTAGGAATGGGTTATTGTTGCTTACAGATATACATTAAATTACCTTTAACAGTGGCTGCCCCCGACCTCATTATCCTAGTATGTGTTTTTTTTTATAATACTTATCACAGTTTTACAACTATCACAACTATAATACTATCGGCTGCAGTATTGGAACTTATATAAAGTAGATAACTCAGCCGAACACTTATGTTGCTATTATATTGTTTTTTATTTGACGTATTTCTATCTAATAATATCAGTGATCCGCCGGCTGCTGCCTCACTTCGTTAGAACAACAAATAAATTAAACATATTATTCAAGACTCTCATCGCTACAATGCTATCCCACGAGTTTATTTCGAACGACGCCTATGTATTAACTGTATATTTTTAGATTCTAAGCGCAACGAGAAAATGTTCTTATTGGTTTTACTGTTTTCTGTTTGTTAACAACTTTTCTACTAGAAATCTTGCTCCATTAAAAATTGTTGTTGGAATTTTCCTATCGTAATTTTAGTCTAGTTTTCTTTTTTTTGTTATTTTTCTTAATTGATGAGATCAATTGACAATTTGTTGAATAATTTATGTTGATTAAGTTACTTCACCAACCTAAGAAAAATACGTTGCTCTGCTCAGAATCGTTTTTCGTTACGTACAGATATAAATTAAATTACATCATAATATGCCTTTCTTTTCGACTTCCCTTTTAAATAATGCTACAACCATCAATCATTTTTTAATTAATTAATTTTTTTAAATTTTAAACCATAAAGTACCAACCTTTTAAATAAATAGTTTCGCTTACCCGTTTAAATATTTTGATATAAAGAACAAATTAATTTTTTAATTAGAAAAAGTGAGGTACAGAGAGATTGCATTGAGCTAGTTTCTATTTTTGCTTAATTTTGCGCCGAATGTATTATTATTACTATTATAGGTACCTACTTATGTATTACTGTTTTCGTTGTAGAAAGTCGCAATTAACACATTTGTAAAATGATTTTTAATAGAGCTCAACATTTAAATGTAATGTAGTCATTTGTAATTTAAATTCGTTTTCGTTTAACAGTTTTACTTTTACACCGCATAGCCCGAAAAGACCAATCGTTATTACGTACCCATAATACATGTTATATGTTGTCCAAGTTCAATTATCTATTTATCTATTGAGTTTCTACGCGAAACTCTTCGAGTGTAATATAACGTTTGAATTGACCTAAGATGATATTTTCGAAAAAAAAATTATAATATTATATACACTGCGTTATTGACCCTGTTATTGATAGTCGACTCATTCCAATATATAATATAAAACAAGTTTAAGACGTATACGACCCAGACAAAATATGAAAATTAAACCAGTTTAAAAATAAAATTTGATGTTAATACAAACGGATTTTCGGACTTATCCAAATCCAACAATCGCCAATAACGATAATTATTTGTTGAAAATGCATTTCGAATACGCATTGTACCTATATGGTTATAAAAAATATATATTTAATAACGCGCGATGTGTTACAAACTTTAAATATTTGTACAATCATTGTCGAATTAATAATACTTTCTATACGAGTATGTATGTAATAAATTGTTTCGGTGTATTATATTTTCTATATAGGTATCTGTACCTATTAATTTAGTTTCATCCATGTCATATTTGCACGTATATACCTATAGGCAACTTATTCGTATGTTGGTTTTTTATTTTAAACACAATATTGTCAGTTCGTTGGAATGTTTTGAAATATTTCGTTTCGAAAAATATGCAATTTTTTTTTTTTTTTTTTTTGTAAAATCGTCGTATTTTATAATAATAATAAGCCTGCAATCTAGGCCGTTTGAATTAAATATGTATAATACAATATTACTGTAATACATCTATTTTGGTATTATATACACTACTGTAGTGCGAGTATAGATTGGTGTGATTCAATGTAGAATAATTGATATAATTGAAACAGTCTAATATATATATATAGTTATAGTAATTATATATATATATACAGGGTGATCAACATAACGTAAGATATTCATTATCTCGGAGAGTGTTAACTCTTTTCATGATTTGTATTTTTATACAATTAAAGAAACTAGCGGTTTTAAAATTGTACAATATCGTTATTTTTTGTCATTGTTATTTTTGGTACGGTGAAATCGCTGCCCACTTTTGATCTTCAAATAACAATACTTATATTACAAATTCTATAAATAGACGCAGTTTGAGTTTAATAGTAACATTCTACAGTTGCTTGTTGTTTCTTAAAATTTACACAAAAAAAAAAAAAAAAACAATTTCGAAAAACTGAACACTTTCGAGATTAAGAGCGTTTTACGTTATGTCGATCGCTCTGTATGATATATATGTATAATTTTGTTTTTTAATTTTTTACATTACTACTTAACAATTTACTGTTGAATTTTTCTAGTATTGTTTTCATTCCTGAAAACTTTTCGTATTATATTTTACAGTCACGTATGTTATGCGGCGAGCCATTCATAATAAACACATTTATATGTATGTATATAAAGGATGAGTCTAATACAAGAATATCTCAAACTGTATGATATACCAATTACCTACTTGTACATTTTCTTGGCACTCTACCCATCCCTATACCTATACGTAGAGTGCCAAAACTCAATATTTATTTTATACTGCACCTATGTATGTCCACCACATATATCTGCATCATGTATAAATATATTTAACTCTATATAAAGTTTTTATACATACAGTATCGAGATCTGTTTTAGTGTTTTATAATTTCGTATATATTTGGTCCCGGGGAGGTAGGATCAATTGTTTATAGTTAAAAATTAAAATGTTGAACACATCTATTATACAATTTTTGCTAAAAAAATAAAGGATACAATATTACATTTACATATAAAGTTTAAAAATTGACTTTAACCCTTCTTCCCTGGTAATCTGAACTTAATAACATCATTCTGGTAAACGCCAACTGACGACAAATTGTTCTATGTATAGAATGAGAACCAACAGATGTATGTAAGACTTGTTATTCTTATATTATTTCTGATATAGTTTGATGTGAATAAATCTATTCAGTTTTTTTTACACTCTAGATAAGTTAATTTTAGAATAAATATAATTGATGAAATCTTAGTTTTAGTAAATCTATAGGTACAGTTAGTTTCTGATTGAGATTTGTTATAATAATAGAAATTTAGCTGACGATCGATAAATCGAGTCTTATTCGTACTGTTTAGTACATACCTATAATTAATTTTTATTGGAACACTGTTTTACAAACCCGGCCGCTAGCTTATTCACCTATATATTCGCATGCGTATATATTATTCATAAACGGCACAAAAAAAAAAAAAAAACGTTTGTATAATTGCTATTGTACGTATTATAATTATTAATTAACGTTCCCCGCGGTTATTTTCGTATGATTTTGTAAAAAAAAAAGTAAAAAAAATATTCGTCTTTGTATACTTATATTCTGCAAATCTTTAAACAATACTTTCAAAATTAACTTAGTTAAGTCGTCAAGTCGTGAATTAAAATTAAAAAAATGTATTCAGAGTGTGATATTTGTAAACAATATAATATATAATTAATATTATAATACTACACGCGGTTCTTGTCTCCAGCGTATAACCACAAACAAATAACTATAAACTCGAAGAAAAAAAAAACGTTATGTAGGAAACACAAAAACAACAAGACAAAGGTATGGCGACTGCATACATGCGTATGTACGAGTGTACGACGCAGGTTTGAAAAGGTTATAACTTAAAGTTAACTATATATCGTGTATAATAGTATTTTACACGAGATTACTCCCCTCCCCCTCCAGAGTTAAATAATAATATTATTTATAAACGATTAATTATGCGGGGTCCCTTTTTTTTCATTTTTTTTTCTCATCGAAAAACGACACCTGCGGGCACGTATACCCGCGAGTATTTCATACTCGGCTTGTGTATGTGTGTGAAACGTATATTATATATTATAGGCATCACACTATACGTTTTACGCACACATCTGCGGACGGCATATATTTTCGAGTAACACAATAGTCAAGTAATAGTAGTCTAAAAAAAAATTTAAAAAAAAACACGAAACCACATAGAGCGTGTAGACGTAGTATAGTAGTAATAGTGCACAGTAGTTGCTAAAAATCTCGGCGGCGACAGAGCGTTTACTGCTCGTTCGTCTGCCCGGTTTACCGTTACGACCGGTTGAAATACATAATAATAATAATAATAATATAAATCATACAATATAATATACCAATACGAACGGATAAAGAGAGTGAGAAAGAGAGAGAGAGAGAATAAAAGAGGTGATACTGCTGATGGGTGCGCCACTGTTTTGCATGTGGGAAGTTGGGAATACATAAGTATAAAATGATTTTATTTATAATATGCATCTGTAAACAACGTCCACTGGATCGTAGCTAATGAAGTACGACTCTGAACAAAGTTCGGTTAAATACGTTGTGAAATGCTGTGATTTTTGAACAAAAGTTTTTAATACATTACGCTCAACTTTTCTTTTTTTTTACCATACAATAATACAACTTATGACAAACCTCGTATTAAATTTGCAATCATTTCTGTTTGGCTAACCAATTCTATTCATATTTATTCATACTTCCCAAATAAAAACTAAAAAAAAACTTCGAAAATGTTAAAAAATGCCTATAAATAAATTAAAAATCAATTGAATATTTTGAAAATTTTACCACGTCTAGAAAATTATAATAAGAACAAAAACGATAATACATTTTTGAAAATACGTTTTTACGTGCTCTCTAAAAATGTCAATTGCTATTATTAATTTTAATCGAATTATAACAAAAAAACAAAACCCAAAATAATAAAACGTTTACTATCGTTTATTTGTTCGCTTTTTCATAAGAGGTTTCCGGTTTTCACAATTATAATGAAAACTACAAACAGTCTTTCTTGTAGTTCTAGAATTCCTGATAGAAAAGTTGTACAAAGACACAAAAATTTAAATAAGAAAAAGTGCATTAGAACCAATACATTTTTCGCTACGCTCAGAATGTAAAATAAATAGGATATCGTACATTTATACAAAGTTATTTATTCACGTCTCCAATCAGTTGTGATTAACTGTATTACACGAATAAAATCAAAGGCAAAAATTTATCGTGCCAAACATTTTTGATTTTATAAATGTTGTTAAAGAAAAAACAGTCATTCCATGTGATGCTATTCCAGATAGTATTGGTTTCCTCGCAAATGAGACGGAAAATTGCTCGTACGCAATTGAGATGTACGTAATAATATAATATTTACGTAGAAAAAAAACAAATGATGGAATCATCGGTCAAGTAAAAAAAAAAAAGTTTGATTAAATACACGAATCGCATTGAGCACGTTATGGTGCTCGAAAATTAAATTAATTTTATATTCCTTCGCAAATTGAGTTTAAGAAGTTAAAAAGTATTCAACAATACGATCGATTTTTGCAGGAATCGAATGTGTTTTACCCGATTTCTGTTTTAACGGGTTACCCTGCTCGGTAAGTTACATTTGAATTCGCGCCAAAAACCGATATTTCTGAACTAGTTAAACGTTTGGAAAATCGTAAGTCTAAAAATAATGAATAAAAAAAAAAAAAATTATTTTTTCACCCGGGCAAACCTATGCCTACAGTTTAAAAATGCGTTCGAAAAAATGTTGACAGCTCTCGTTATTACGATATCACTCGCGCGCGTGTACACCGAATATTATATTTTAGAAACCTATATTATGACGTATACAATATACAGGATGCGTACAACAATGCGGCGCATTGTGATACATATATTATTATCATATAATACGATACGCGATACGTTATTATTGTATACTATAATATAACGCACGCTGCACGTGTTATCATCGTCGTTGTTGTTGCTGACGGTCGTGGTGCAAATATCATCACGGACGGGAACGGTCGCGGTTTTTCTCGGCGATACTCGCGAGTACCGAACAATGCGATAATGTCGTCTTGCCCGTCGTCTTCGGCATCGTATTTTTGTTGGATTGCGTCGGCCTAGAAGGATCCCCCGGGTACAACGAACCCGAATTTATATATAGAGTGGATATGGGTAATTGGTATACTATACTATATTATACAGGTAGGCAGCACCATAAAGCGTCACAATTATTAGGTACGTCTCTATATTATAAAATGTAAACCCGTTTAAAATTCGATTCGAAAAATCGCGCGCACCGTTATCGGCAAACACGGTTTTTTTTTGTCTTCTTTCATTTCATTTCGTTTAATGACATTTTATCGTTGACGGGTATCACGCGAGACCTGCAGCCGCGACGACCGCGGTTCCGTGTAATTTATGCGGTTTTTTTTTTTTCGCAGTTTTTACCGTGACGATTTCTAAACGATAACGACGACGACGTTTCTATCACACGCGCGCGATGTCATCGATGATAATATCGTGTACACGATTGTTGTATCAATTCGTACACGTACATAATGTATATAGGCGTCTATACCCGTACCGTGTATAACAGCCGTACACGGACGAAGTGCTCGCATTTTCAAATAATACATTCGAAAAGTCGATGCAAATTTTAAATATCTCAAATAAATCGAGTAAACATTGTGATATGTACATAATATTTAGTTTGACCTATATTTTTGTACACGTTTCAACAAAATTGTAGACAACTATATTACCTATATAATATAGACTATATAGTATACATGTTTTTTTTTCTTTTTGAGAATATATAGGCCGCGGACGAGGAGAATAATAAAAATACAACTATTATTGGAGGAAAAGTCCGCGAAATTCAAGTTTTAACCCAGTGACGCATTTAGGGGCGTGCGAAAGGTGCCATATTGCTCCCTATTACATGAAAGCATGTTTGGGATAGGAAACTAAAGAAAGTGTTTGAATAGGACGTGTATCCGTATGAATGGGATGAGAGCGATTCGATTTTTTTTTGACCCGGGCCGTAAAAATCATATAGATACTGAGTTACCTCCATTCTATATAATAAATGTAAATTTAAAAATTCTTCTTTTAAATTTCAAATCTCTGATGCGTGTTACACAGATTGCCCGAAATCTTCAATAGATATTATACAATTTATCGTTTTCAATTTTTAAAATTGTTTAGAAAAGCTATTGCAGGGACCGTTTCGAATAAATTGTCATTGCATCTTATTTTAGTTAGTACCTACGGTGTGCAAGTTTTAGATGATTTTTTTTCTTATGTACCGGAAAAGCAGTCACAAAATCTATACAACTTTTCAATTATATATATTTTTCATATTCATAGTAATACTTTTGGGAAATTTCGTAGTTTTTCTAAAGGCGAACTATGCAGTTTTGTTTTTTCACAATGCTTCGCATTCCGTGGAGTGTATTTATCAAGCACATTCTTAGAATTTGCGAGGTTTAAGACAAATTGTTTAATATTTTAAAATTGTATTATTTTATGATTCGTATTTTTTTTCTCGAATGCGATGCTCCAAATATAAGTAAAATGTGTGCGGCTCAGTGGATGGACCTTGCCTGCCCCCCCAGGACGGCTCTGTATTTACATTTTTCATGTCAAAGGCGAAAGCGAAATGTGTCTCGCTCCAAAAATATTTAGAATTCTAGAGTCGCTTTACTGCTGTGGTTTGTAACAACATAGAACAAACGTGCATAATGCATATAGACCGAGAAACGATTTTTTTTTTAGTAAATATTTTAACGCTCGACCTTGTAACACTGACTGGGAAGAAGTCATTATTGTTTTATCGTTATAAAATACGTGAAATATAAACCCTATCTTAAAAATAAAAAACTATGACACTTCCTATTTGCCCTATTAAGTGTCATGTAAATTTAATAAAATCGAATATTACAAACGTACGCGTAACTAAACAAATAATAAAAAAAAAAAAATTGAAAATAAAATAACCGCAATAGAAATAACGGAATACCTATAATAGATTCTTACGAATAGGAACAGCAGTATTACACGTGTCGGTATTTTTATTGATTTAACATATTCAATCATTTTTTTTTTTTTCTTATTTTTTTGTAATATTTTCCATTCCACGAGAATTATACTATTATTTACCTTTCTCATTTTTAGATTTTGAATGTAGAAACTAATGTGTAGTGCACTGACCTCGAATTAAAATGGGGTTTCCGGGAAGATCAAGGAAATACTGGAATACACATTTTAAGATAAATTTCAAAATTTTAACCATTATTTCAGTGTGCACATTTTTTTGGTAGAAAGGCTTATTTTTAACATCAGATTTTAATAGTAGCTATTTTTTCAAGCAGCTTTAATCAATATGATTTTTATTTATTACAAAATTTGACATGCAGCTATTTAAAGTTTGTTAAAAATATGCATCTTCTATGATTTCTTTAAAAAAACTTAATAAACCGAACGCCTTTAAAAAATAAGATATTTAACTGCCGTTTTATGGAAAAATAATTTTTTGTATAAATTATCATAAATAAATACATACATATAATAAATTAGTAATACGTATTATTCGGAGTATTGTTTGTCTATGATATTTAATCGGAATATAGTTGAACATGATATAGTATAACATCCATATATTATTCAAATAAATCAAATACCTACTTACAAAAACCGCGGTTTTTTAAGTACCGTGTTGAAAATATATTTTTTTTTTTTTATAAATATGGAAAATATTATCATATAGCTTTACCTGATGTATTTATATACATTATTTGTCTAGTTTCGGGACAATAGATCCGTATCCTTTTCTTATTATTTGAACATCTGGTATATTATATTGTGGTTGGAAAAAAAATCATTACCGCCCGACAAAAAAAGGTCTTTGGTCCTGCCGAGTTAAAATATCTATAGGTGTATAACAAAAAATAAATAATAATACATAGCATATTTGTATACTCGTGAGTCATGACGCGATGATAAATCGTCGTGTAGAACACAAAATCTAAGGGACAATCCGCGTTGACAAAGTCACCGTTTAAAAAAAAAAATAATAAAAACGGATATTTTGCCGTGAGAACGAAATTGTGTGCACCATATTAAATTCCTGATGGTTTTTCGTATAATACATTTAATTTATCAAATACATTCAACAATACAATAATGTAAAATGTATGTAACAGTCGTATAGGTGATGATATCTAATTCATCATCGCTGCATTTCCACAATATTATAACCGAAATATAATATTAAAATACAGTGATGTGCACTCATTCGACCTCGGTCAAAACAATTTTGTAGAATCAAATGTTTTATAGAAATACTGGTAGGATTCATAGAGTGATTTAATTTGTACGCAGAGATAAATCGTTGTTAAGAAAAAATGATTTCAAATGGAGTTCGGTTCACATACGTTTTTATGAAATTGAATTGAAAATTGTATCAATTTGTAAAAATGTTTTGTTTCTTAGCTTTTATAGCCCATTCAGAGCTTTTTCCGTTAATATTTGGGTTCCAGTGAATTTGTCTGCTATATTAGTTGGGCCCGGATGCATAAAAATTAATTCAAAACATTTGTCTTCTTATTTTTTCAAACTAAGGATTTAGAATCTATTTTGCCAGTGATTTTTACTGTTGTTTTATCAGTATATAATTTTTTTTTTGTACATTACAAAGTTCCTTGTTTTTTTTCCTTAACTTCTAAATGTTTCTAAATTTCCAAACTTTTAAAACTATTTATATTACGGTACTAGACATCTAGTTTGAGGTTCGATTCTAGTTTTTTGATCTAACTTGGATGCGCTGGTTAACTTGTCTTATAATAATATCGTTTTTCGTTCGCCAATAGTACATTATACCTGCGTCCTGCTCACTTTATTTGGTCGTTTCTGATAAATACTTTAATGTTAGGTTTTCGAAATAGCTGATTGACTTCCTCGTTTGTTCTTATACGGAATTCCCCATTTTCGACTAACGGACCATATAAATACGGCGAAGCACTTTCTTTCCAAAATCAATAATTTCTCCTCTTCGCCTTTTGTTGTTACTGACTACACGTTTTGCAAACCATAAGCTATTGGACAGGGCATAAACGGCTCAAATAAAGTTTAATAGTCCATTCGCTTTATTTATGTCCTTTATAGAAGGACAACATGTCTGTTGCAGACATGACAAATTCAACTGTGACAGCCTCTTAAAATTGATATTATATTTGTATCGCGATATATTTTAATCCATGGGCATTTATAATTGTTTACTTATTATTTTTCGTGTATGTATTATGCATGTATATCGTTTTACTATATCTAAACAATATATAATTTATTAAACAAACAATAATTAAACGATACATGCATAATTGTAATCGTTCGTAAAATTGCTGTTGAGCGTAATATTTTAATTAGACAAATTAATAGGAAGGTCGACTGAATAAGCAAATTAAAACATATTTTATTTTTTTTTACTGTACAAGAAACTATTTCCGCTTTAAGTATTATTTATTCGAATTAAAAGGGTACTTGACATTTGAAATTTTGACATCTTAATCGTTCGTACTCGCTTAGTAAACACTATATTAAATATACATCTACAAAAAAAACCAATTACGATCTTGAGCATTTAAACACATTTTTCAATTATAATTCTTCGCGGTTATTTTTTAAATTTCTGTCAACAAATTTGTATGCACTTTGAAACTGAAGTTTACGTAAAAGTTGTTTAGTTCTTTTATTGCACTCACTTTTGTTTCATTTTTTAGTATCAGCAATCTCAATAATAATTCATTATTTACGACGGGCATATTTCATCTGTATTAATCGAAACACATGTCTACTTATAGTTAGTGATTTACCCGGTAAATTGAATATATTTAGTTTTAATATGAAATACACATAACACATACACAATAACACATTTAATATGAAAAATTGTTGGTTTTTCAAACTTATAGCCTTGAATCCAATAGATATTTGATAAATGAGCATAACGATCAGTTTTCATTTTTCTCTTTTAATCTTTATTTTTTTTTTTTATCTAATTATTACAAGGTAAATAGGTCACTTATTTGTTTAATCATCATAATTATTTTTAATTTTACTTAGACTTAGATTGAAATTCTCTTGACAATAAAATGGGGAAAAAAAAATATTTACCCAAATTTTGGGTTGGTAGATACCCAAAATATTTCCCTACCTTTTGCAGGGTAGATACATACGTTTTGGCTACATAGCCAAGACATATCGCTACATGTAGTACAGGTATACCTATAATACAGAATATACGTGACCTCCCCAACGCACCTCTTAACGTAAAATGGTACGAGAGTATAAGCTCCTATTATATGAAATGCCAATCGACTATTGTCTATTTGTGTGTAGAACGCAGTCCATTCATCATTCTTACAAATGGACATAGGTATACATATTTCTGCAACGTATATTAATATTACTATTAAATATAATATTAGAATAGAGTTAATATATTCGAATAAAATGTCGCAATAAAACGCGTACCATAATTGTTCAAACGTAATTTTATGTAATTTAGAGGCGACGTATTTGCATTTTCTATGACTTTTTTTCTACACTACACTATACCATATATTCCACAAAAAACCGGATGCACAATCGCGTAGGTAGATGCGCGAGCGCGCATAATATATTGTAGGCGTGTTGCAGCTCAGTTTGGTACCTACCTAGACATAATAGTTTAATACGTCGGTTAATAATATACAGGGTGTGATATTTGTATCACGATCAGGCGATTATATCTACAAAGACAAAATCAATAATGGTTTTTTTTCAGTCACTATATATAGACTTTGTAAATCCATTTTTAAACGATAACCCTTCTCTAATATCGTGGTTCCAAACCCGCGATTAGTATTATGTATAGTCATATCTATTCAATTGTGTTTATAAAAATATTATCTATTCAAATCTGCGCTGAAAAGAGAAATATTTGAAAAATCCAAAACTCGGCTTTTATCAAGCATACGAATACTATTGATTGATTTGGCGTACAATGATTAGAAAAACTTACAGAAATCGTAAAAACAGGTATCTCCGATCGTGCCGAAATCGTGATAAAATAATCATCCTGTATATGTATATATATACAGACACTGAGTGTATTATTATAAACAATGTATACGAGCGATTATTTCAACCGACTGTATGGCGGTGAATATTCCGGTGAATATTATTATTATTACGTTTTTATTCACGTTTCGTTGTATATAAAAAATTTCTTTTTATAATCTTCCACTAATTTGTGTAAAGCCATTTCGTCGCGCGTTATGTATACTCGGATATAGTATATTATATTATAGGTATATTGTATAGGTACGTAATACGGATTATTCGCTCAATGAATATATTATAATTCACTTGACAATACGGAAGACGCAAGAATTATAAAAAATAGACCTTGACACGTAATCATTATTGTGTCATAAGTCCCCTCGAAGTCGTCTACGCCTACCGAGCACGGTCGTCGCGTTCACAGTACGTACACGCGTACGCGAAAAAAACATTTATTATAATGAACGAAAACCCCCTTTGCGAACAGACACTTTACGAGTGATGACGCGTCCAATGCGGATTTATTATACTCCGTTTAACCTATTCTTAAACTGCAGATGACATATGCACGTATACAGGATGATCGGCATACCGCAAGGCACTCATAATGCCGGAAAGCAAGGTATTTTCACCGGAATTTAATCTTTAGGAAATTTCAGAAACAAGTGGCTTTAAAATGTTGCATCGCCGTTTTTTTTTTCAGCCATTCATATTTTCAGGGACGAAACTCTTAGATACCCTTTTTTGATTTTCAAATAGCGAACCTATATTAGAAAATTCCATAAATATAGATGACATTTTAATTTATGTACATTTTGGCGTTGAAATGTTTAATTCGAACTTATTGACGACGATATATTCCACTTTTATAAGTCTTACGGTTTTTGTGTAGTAGATAGTGTAGCACTATTCAAACGCCATCACATAAACGATATTCCAATACTCCCTTGGAATTATTAAAGTTTGAAAATCAAAACGAAAGTAGTGGTTTCAATTCCAAAAATAAAGGCGTTCGTTTCTTTAATTTTCTTTCAAACAAATTCCGAAAAAATTAGTGTCTTACGCTATATTGATCACCCTGTATGTATACACGAAAATTGTGTAGCGCAAGACGAAAAAAATATAATAATATAATATAGCTCGCCATAACCCGACTATAATAACTTGATTTTATAGTCGATGAAGTATAATGCAATGTGTATATTAATATTATGTACAGACAATGACGTAGTTATAGGGGGCGGGAGATTTGGAGGAATTAAAGATTTTTTCTTTTGACCTTTAAAAATAAAATATAATGATAATAATAATATAATACTGTTATCCATATTCCCTATCTTTTTCTTACTATATAAAGGCCGTGTCTTGTCGCCACTAATTCGAATTTCCGTGTTCTTTGCAGTTCTTAGCCGATCTCTTAGCAATCAGCTTGTCTCATCGTTACTTCGATGAATCTTGATCTTTTTTTTCCTTATTTAAGATCGTTTACCTGTCCTTCAAATATGCTTATCAAAAAATATTGGATCGGCAAGTGACTGCTCCTTTCTCTTATGGTACTGAACAAAATCTTTTTCCTCCCCTCCCTCGAATCAATCTCGTATACTTCCAAGTTGCTTTTAATTCTGTTCAACTATCCTTCATTATTCTTATCCTAAATTCACATTTTCATTCCGTAAAGCGTTTAACTGTTTCATATGATATTTAATGATTTAATGATTTGTAAATTAATTTTGAAATCTCTACTTCATCACCTATAGTTATTTTAGGTGGTATTACGAAATTTTTTAAAATCGAACTGTAAATCGCAAATTAAATCGAATTAACCCAAATACGCCGCAGTAAAGTAAAAAAAAAAAAAAAATATAATTTAGTTTCAGGTTATATTTTCAATTTTTTTTTTCTTCTATCGATTTCTTCTGTAATTCACAGAAATAGGTTTTTAAGTTATGTGAAATTTAAGATTTTTAAAATTTTTAAAATTTAAAAATTATTATTGTAATAAAATATCTAAATGGATTTGCTATTAAAAAGCTATATAATTAATTAATTGATTTAAAATGTAGATAATTCGTTCGGTTTTTTTTTCATATACAATAGAAAATTACGATACGTTTTCTTTACGTGTCTTAATAAAATTTGATTATTTTTATTTATGTGTCTGTGTACCTTGTTATATATATTTATATATATACTCGTTTTTTTTTAAATTTAAATTTTACGATTTTATTCTCGCGCGGCCGCAGATATTAATTATTTGAGTTTGATTTGTTTGTACGAGTACATGTTATATCATAATGGAATGATTGAAAAATTCTACGCATAGTTACAATAATGGTTAAATAAATAAAACCGTTGGTCTTGAGTTATATTTGTGTACCGAAATCGTTGTTTCATCGATTTGATTATTTCGCAGCAGGCGGCAGCGGCGGCGGAAATAGAACGATTTTGATTATGCGTTTTTACGACGAAAACGAAATAAGAACAAAATGAGCTGATACTGCTGATAGGTGTGCTACTATTGTAGACGGAAATTTCAGAATGTAGGATACGTATATAGGTATAGAGTTGTTTAATTTATATCTGTACGCAACGATAAATCACTGTTAATGAAATACAATTCTGAGCGTAGTTCCGATTCAATTGAAAATTGTTTGTTAAACATTTTTAAATGGTCTACTCAATTCTATATCACATAAACCCAAATATAGTTAAAAATATCAATAGCTCAAAAATCGCTAGAATGTTTTGAACGTTGTAAAAGTTTATAAAATAAAAAATAAAATCTACTTAATTTAAATATTTTTAGAAATTTGCAGATACCTACAATTATTTTTAACTGAATTTTAGGAAAAAATGAAACAGTTATTACCATAAACTTTCCCATTTTTATTTTGTAATTTTTAGTAAAATTTTTAGATCTAATTAGTGCATTGAAAGTCTTGTAATATTTTTCATTTTCCTTGTAGTTTTCTTAATAAATGGAAAAAAACCTGGCCAGTTTTTGTAAAATGTTTGTTGATTTCTGAGTTAGCAGGGGAAAAATATAACGAATAATAATCTGCTCAAAACCGTTTATCGTTATCAATTTTTTTGTGACTTACAGATATAAATTAAATTACCCACTGTGCAATATTATATTGATTTTATATGTATGTAATATTTCACTGCAACCCGTAATATCACGAAATGTGTTATTTTAATATAACTTTCATACATTGATGCCATTGTTAATCCTTGTATTTACTGATATTCAAAAATCAATATACATTTGTTGCCACTTAATAACTCAATAATATTATATAATATATGTATAAATATTGCATTGTAGTATAAACATTAAATACATCATTACAGTAAAATTAATTTGCGATATTTCATGGTAATATCATATACAAGATAAAACATAATATCTATACATATGTGCACATACATACATATGTAATATTGATTGTTAAAAAATAATGCGATGCTATCCGAGATCTTAATGCAATATTTCAGTGCAATTAATTCATATAGGTGATAATGGGTGATACAACATAATAATAATAATTTCTTTAATTTTTTTATTTTTATGGATTTTTTAAATTTTGACACTAATAATATTTATAACATATTTTATGATAGAGTTGAAGTACAATATACAGGTACATAAAGACACTGGTTTTCATATAAAATATTAGTAGAGTATTATTTATTAAACAAATATATATATAATAAAGAATAATAAAACATAATGTACGTACTACACAAAATAACATAAACATCATACAATAATAAAAAAAAATACGAATATACTTCGCACGATTGGTGGGCTACTGTTGTAGAAGTTGGGAAGCTAGGATATAGAAGGGAATTTAATTTATATTTGTACTCAACAATAAACCATTGCTATTTGGAGCGAAGTTTTTTTTATACATATATGTACATTTTCCCGTTTTCCCTACGTTTTTCCCAGGTATTATAAAAACCGCTTGGAAAATAAAAAAAAAATGATTTTACTACCCATATAAAATTTCCTTTCAGAAAAGATACTACACTTGGAAACCGGAATAATATTATAATAATATTTGATAGAAAAATGGTTATCAAACAAAAAAATATAAACATGATTGTAAAACTCGCTACGCTCCGAATCTAAATTAAAAATCAAATTTTATCCAACTGAATATTTTCTTAACGTGTAAAGGTCTAAACATACTAATTAAATAAACTCTACATAATATCTAAGTTTATAATACTTAAAGATTCGTATTTAAATTGTTTATTGATTCTAATGTTAAAATATTCAGTGTACTTTTATATAAAAATATGTATAAAATAAATCCAACTGTTTTTAAAATAGAACTATTTGTAGTTCATATTTGATACCCTGCAAAAATAATTTATTTAATAAATTATAATATTAACATTAAACAAAGTCAAGTACATATTTTACTATTATAATTAAAAAATTACATTAAAAAACATAATATAATAATAATGATATTTAAACTTAAAATTAGGAAGTTTCAAAATGATAGAACTTGTCTAAAAAATGTCTTTACAAGAATCAGAATCAGAAGATAGATGTTGTAGTAAGTTTTTAGGTTTTTGGGAATAATTCTTTCTTTTAGTGTCAGCTTCCGAGAAAGATTCGGAATTTATTTTAATTTGTTGATATCATGCATTGTTAAAATTTGCTGAAATTAGATTTTCTATAATTGTTCAAAATCAAACATCAAATATTACATTTCCAGTATATTGTACATTTCGGTACTCAAAATATTCTTTGCTATTATCAACTAACTATATAGAATATATACAGGCCACTCAAGGAACTGTTGCAGTGGCAGTTTTTATTGTAACGCCAGTTACAGTAATAGGCGATGGAGGTCATTTACAACTAAGCACATACACATAGCACATAACACAGTACGATCATTAACGCACTTTTTATTAGCCAGTTTGTAGGAACTGCACTGAATCCATTGGTTTTTGAGAAAACACTCATAATTTACTATTTTGATGTATGTATAATTTAAGAATATTAGAATAATATTGTTTCTATTTAAAACGACCAATTCGTATAATTTTTTCTATTACTGTGGCATCTTAAGCAATACTTTATAGTATTTGGCAACACCTAAAACTTGTATTGAAAAATAAATCAGGCAACTACATATAAATTGCGTTCATTAAATAATTATGAACTAGTCAAACTGAATTATTTGGTTGTATGAAAGTTGAAGTCTATGAAGACGCCATAATTTTGAGTATTTTGAATTTTCAATAAAATCACAAATAACAATATAAAATATTAGGTATTTCAAGTGTTTAGTATCACGCTACTTAGGTATTAAAAATGAAAAATGATAACGAAAACTCGAGCACATCATCGATACGACTGTTCCACTATCCGTCCATCATTTTTTATGGCAAATTATTTTTAAAATAACTGAAAGATATTATCATACTAAATATTAGATTTATATATCATACAAATAAATACAACGCATCATCAATATAACATCAATAATTATAATTGTACATACGTCAACAAATGTTAGGATAACGTTGTATTCTTATTAATTTGCAATATAAATAATCTTCAACATTTAATTAATTTTATTTGGTATATTATAATATATACAAAAGTGTTAGTGTAACAACAATCATATATTTAACTTGGTATCAATATAGTAAATCTTCTATGTTTATGTAATGTTCTTCGTTAACTTTAATTTAATTTGTTCAATGAAATAATACATTGATGTTTTACTTCAATTGTCTTGCAATATTTCAAGTGCGGCCTAATTTTAATATAGCGGCGATGAATAGTAGTAAACTTTGCACAGTGAGATATTCTATATACATGCCTCCCTTTCAACTTCCTTCCTAAAATAGTGGCACACACCCATCAGCAGAATCAGCCTTTTTTCCCCCTTTGTCTATATACGTAATATATAGAAAAGTAATTACGTTTATGCATCCGTATATGATGTTTTAAATTCATATATCGTATTTTAGGTATCATTGTATCACTCCGCCGTCGTAATGCGAAAAGTATGTACGAGTACATTTGGGTCGTCGTAAATCGATTCTATGCAATTTTAATGGGATCGTATACGATTAGTGTTTGTATATATTCGTAGTGTATAGTTTGTGTGTCGTTACCTGCTACTGTGTACTATATTGAATAATAATAATATCATACATGTATCGGGAACCCATTCGTAATTTATTAAAATACGATCGAAAGGACGGACGTTGCCTGTCTTCGTGATAATATCGATATAATTATATCGTGCCAGTCCGAAACTGTGACCTAGTGACCGTCGTACAAGTAGTCATTATGTCGTATATATTGCCTCCATCCAAACATGTATTCAAGATCAATTTTTGGAGGGGGGGAGGTAAAACATTTTCAATATACGAACTTGTAGTTGGTCTTTGTTTTATTAAAAATATGCACCTACTTTAAAAATTTCAAGGAGGTGAACCCCTATACCCCCCCCCCTGTGTACGGGCTAGTGTACAGGCTGTAAGACGGGAGATCTTACAAACATACGGTATTGCAAATTTTCGTTAAACTGAACACATTTGGGCTGTTATAGTTTTGATATCGTAAAGTGAATTTTGATCTATTATAACATTTGAAGGGAAGAATATTATTTGCAGTAGTGTTTGTATACGTTGATTACAGTTTTTAGTTATTTTAATTATGTTTGCTCGGTCTTTTCTCGCTTGAAAATTTAAATATCAAAAAAAAACCAACGTAAAATTATCTCGGGTAGTGTTCTTACTTATAAGTTTTATAATAGACCAATTATTCATTCTTATATTAAAATTATAAGTACAATACTGATTTTGTTGACCGCAAATTTACTATACCGTGATTTATATTATATATATTAGACAAAGACAAGAAATACATAACTGACCATCGGAGAGTCGGATGGGCCTCGAATGGATTTCGAGGTGGCCACAATATGTTTTATATAATATCTGTAGCAGACCCGTAGCCACGGGGGGCAAGGGAGACATTGCTTCCCTTGAACCTAATCGTTGCCCCCTTCAACAAGAATTAAATGTGTATATGTATAGTGGTATGTTATGGTTTAGTAATGTTTCTAATATCCCCCTTAAAATTTTGTTTGCCCTACCTGCAAATGATTTGGTCTGGTTACAGGCCTGATCTGTAGCTAGCTCTAAAAAAAAGGCCGAACAATTTCTATTAAAAAAGTTTTCTGTTTTTGCTATTTTTGTTATCTGTACCTACTATATTCACTATTCGTACTGGTTTATACACTTACCGCGATTATTTAAATCACGCCGTACAAGTACTATGCATAGGATTATTAAACTATTTACTGCTTAAAATTGAAAAGTTAATATTAAAACCGCGCATTTATTGTAATAGAGTTAAGCATTTTTCATTGATAACCATTCACTATAATGTTTTTGAACGTTCGTTTTACAAATTAACGAAATCGTTAGTCTCGGGCAATAGAGTATAACGTAACTTACGCGCTCCTATAATTGCGTTACTTTTTGTAGCGATATTACGTAATTTAATTGCATTTTTTAAAAATGATAAGTCTAATAGTTAACATTTATAGCTGTTAAATATTTATATCAACTAAATATTTTGTTATTTGATTTATGAAATAAATATTGATTTTATCAGGTTCATTTGTCGTCTATAAGTTAATTTTAAAATAACATTGAATTATTTTTTAATCTCAGAAATAAAGTATAACTTAATTACACATGAATTTGAGGTATAGGCAATAAAAGTGTGATTACATTTTAGAAAGGTATATAACGTAAATAATTGTTTTTTGATTACTTTTGTAAAGTGATACACTCGTCCAAGACTGCAAATTATTACGTGTATTATTCAATATTATATCTGCTTATAAGTTCAAGCAACCCATCTTCTAATATTTCGATAAGCCACATCTTTTAAATTCTAATAATAAGTGCAGTAATCAGTTTTACCATTATGTGTGTGATTTTTTTTTGTGTATGTGTGAACAATTTTTTTTACCAGAAACATTGTTTCATTCAAAAAACGACATGAGAGCTTTTTTGTAACATTTTAGATATAGGTATTTTCCTTACAGTTTTTTAATAATTGAAAAAAAAATTGTATAGGAAATACGTAAAAATGTAAAGTATAGAAAAAATCAGGAACGTTAAAGTTTTTTTTTTTGTTATAATTCAGTTAAAATTAATCTTAGATAACTGATATTTTCACCGAATACTTGATTATACTTTTTGAAAGGTGGTTAAATTTTCAAAACGATCTGTCAATTTTTGATTTTTGTTTTAGTCATTTAACATTTAGCACTTTTAGAGTTTTTATATCGGTTTATGTGAATAAAATTGTTTAGGTCGAACAGAAATGTTTGAAAATCGTACACATTAGTAAGTATAGTACTTAGTTTTGAAGAAAAAGCTTCTTTATTAGCTTTTTAGACGAGATTGATATCGTATTTATTATAATGTAGAAGTGTTTTAAGGTACACATTTTGACGAAAATTGTTAAAATCATAAAATTTCAAAACATGTGTAACCTGAAAACTACTCTCAGAATCGTATTTCGTAAATAATGATTTATTGTTGCGTTCTGATTTTAATTAAATAACTCGCTATAATGTATCATATATCCCCAATTCCTGACCTATTTCTCACATGCTTTTGAATTTTCATATGGTTTAGTTATTTTTTTTATAATATAGTTGACCTATACGTATACAGTTATATGTATTTTAAAACTTGTTTTTGTTTTTTTTGTTTCAGGTAAGTGAATTTATACAATATTATGTTATTGCCGTTTAATAAAATACGTAAGTACTGCACTAAGTGTACATAATCTTAGAATGTAAGGCGAACAAATCATTGAAGTATTTATTTTTTGTATACATAAATCAACGATTGTTTTTCGTATAAACTTATGGCGCCATATAGGTGTATTTTTAACGTGACATTTTTTTTTCGGTTTTTAAATTTTCCAACCTATATTTTACGAGATGACGAAGAATTTATTATACAATATTATATCAATGTAATTTTTTTCTGGGAACATCTAATGGCCGCGTGTGTAGATTATTACTATAGTGACTATCATCTATATATTTATATAGTTGTCACTCGACCACTATACACATTCTAAACAAATTCAGTGGGTGGGAATTATGATCGCGAAAGTATTGTAGAATCGTCTTGTCTACCCAACTTAACTATGGGAATTAAAAAGCTGGCTCCAAATAAGCTAATGTTTAATCAAATAAGTTTTCCTTGTAACTCGGCCAAAATATTTCAAGATTAAATTACTGAATAAATACTCATAGTTGTGGTATTTTTTAATCTAATGTGGCGGGGTTATAACCGTTTACCTTTCCCCCTGAGCACGCCTCTGATAAAACTTAATATAATATGACGTCTATAATAATATATTGTATCGAATAAAACAAATATAATATTTTTCTGGGTGCGACCACGACGGCATTTATTATCGTTGTTATTATTATTATTATCATCATCATTATATTGACATTAATCTAGAACACACGGTTCCGATTCCGAATCTCTCATTCCGAAGGCTCTCCTGTGTGCGGCGGCCAACGAACCTCGGAATGGTATCGGCGGTGGCGGTAGAATTCAGATCTATAGTTGGTGCAATAATGTACGCGCGTAGCCTATTTCAGCGTTCTTCTTCCCCTCTCCCCGTCCACCACCTCCCACTCCACCATCGCCTCCTCCTCCGTCCGTTACTATCTCTACCCTCTCCTACCCGGCACTGTGTGACGCGCGTTCGTATTTAATAGTCGTGACGACGGTCGTCATTCTTCTGTGTGTCTCCGCATCACACTGGTCTGCCGCTGCAGAAGACAATCCTTTCTTCTTCTTCCATGCCGCATTTACCTTGACAGATTAGTCACGCCCGTATTAACAATACCGAATTTCATATAATATAAACGAAACAAAAAAAAAATAATAATAATAATAATAATAACAAAAATCTCTGCACACAGTATACGTTCTAACAGTAACGATAATAATAGTAATAACAAAATATATACGAATTTTCCATAGCTCTTACAGCTGCTGGTACCTCGTACAGGCGACTTTCACCCACTATATATAGTACCTCCGTTGACGAAAACGGCCTTAACGGTCCCGGTACCGAAGAAACGGAGAAAATAACAAAAAAAAAAATAAAGAATCTGAAACTGTTTTTTTCCTTCTTATGAATGACGGTGACTTTCTTTCTCGATTCATCGTTGTTAATGTTATCATTTTGAACCGTTTGCGTGTACCCCGCGAAAATTACGAAAATCGTGTATCCTGAGTGGCTTTGGCTCAGTGGTTTCCAACCAGTGGTCCGTGGGCCTGTTATAATTGGTAGTCCGCTATTCTATACTTTGTCCTCTTGAAATTAGAAAAAAAAAGGTCGACGGTGGTGGGATAATACTAAATATTACTAGGGATAAACCTGCAGGTACCTGATAATTGAAACTGAAAATCATAAGTTGATATTGAAATTAAAAACCCCGAATTTTTTTTTTTATCGTAATTTTCATACCCCAGAAACATTATCGATCTTTTTTTTTCTCCAGAAAATAAAGGTTTAAATAAATAAAGACCGAATAATTTTTATCGCATCATTGGCAAATCGAAGTGGTTCGCGACCTATCGAAAGTTCTTTAAATGCTACGTATTGTCGTAAAGATTGGGAACCACTCCTTTGGCCCATCCGATAATATAATAACAATAATTACCGTCTTCGTATGTTTCGAACGCGTTTTGCATAATAATAATGATACATAAACGTGACTGCAACGATCTAATTTGCAATACTATATTATAGTTTAAATTTTCAATAATTCTCTGCGGCCGAAACGATTTTACATTGGTAATTATTATGACGGTAATAAATTAATAACAAATCATTTTGACATGCGGACGTTTCGTCGGGTATGTCACACTTCATTGCGTGACATTTCATCTCCGCATCATCGTCGTACCGTATATTCTGTACCGTATATGCACGATAAGTACCGTTAGTTTGATTTCAAATACAAACCGATACAATAGACCTAAGAAACTCGCTGACATAATGTACCGATGATGATTTTTAAATTATAATATTATGCAATCGTGATAATAAACCGGCTGTTGATGAGATACGATACTTTTGTCGTACTATTATAACATTGTAATCGCGTTCACCGTATAATTGCGGTAAACACGCCAGGACAAAATGGTTCATTTTATAACGTAATAACAATACATGCACAGTTTGTACTTAAAGTTTTCATTGTGAACAAATGGTTTTAAATATATATCATTGCAGCCCTATTCGAATGGTGCAGCACGATAGATTCTCATGCTTGTGACTATGGCCACCCATCTCAAACAATGGGACTCATCGTAGGGTCTATCCGTGCTTTTAACGAACCTACGTAATGAATCCGCTACAATAATCTCGAATGCAACACAAAAACTTGGGTTAAATCGCTTAGACATTTCCCTGTAGAAAAGTTATCATACATCGCCTCGATATGGATGTTATACCATTCTATGAATATTTATAATTATGTTGTTTTCGACTAATTTTATTTTATTTTATTAATCTTTATAACCTAACATGTATTATAGTTTTAAATATTTTATTGAGTTTTGCGTGCTTAACTACCATATGCCTTTACAAATAATTTACATCACTGGCTGTGGTATAAACGACGCATATTATAATATCTCACGTGATGAAGTGTCGCGTGATGAACTGCCTGTTCTAGAGTGTCTGTAAATCATCATTTGCATATCAACGTTTAATCATTTTCAAATTTTAATTAAAGTAGCTTCATAATATAATCTATTTTTCAATTTGTTATGTTTTTTTTTTTATTTTTCATAATAATATCAAAACGTATTGTTTTAATACGATATTTTTTTTAATTTTAAATTGTATTTTGTTCGTTTTTACATTACATTTGAAATTGTTTTAGTTTGTATTAATATCATTATAAACTGTGTACTCAAATTCAAAAGGGGAATTATATATTAAAATAATAATAATAATTCAGAATGAAAATAAGAAAGGCAGATTTGTGACGTTTTTCCCCGATTCGAGTGATATGACTTTAATGGTACCATCGCTAAATTATACTTTTATAATTTTGGAATTTAATTGTTATTATTTTCGTGTGACCTCGAGTAATTAAAATACAATAAGAATTTATCAGGTATTTAATGGGTACAGTCAATGACGTATTAAGTATATTACATATTGTACAATTAATTTCTATCGACTTGATTATCATACGATTCACTGAATAACTAAAAATAAATAAACAGTACAGAGCGTTTACTATAATATATACGAGGTGAGTAAATAAAGTAATGAAATTGATTTTTCATAATTGTTTTATTGAATTAAAGTGGCTTTTTTACATTATTTCCTTCAAAGTAATTGCTCTGGGAATCCACACAGCGCTGGAATCGATGTTTCCAATGTTCGTAACAGATCTGGTACTAGTTTTTTTTAGTTTGTTTTAGTTAAAAGTTAACCCAAAAATAACTTAGCTTAATTAAAATTAATTTTAAAATACAGAAATGTCAAATAAACTCGAGTAATATTATGTTAAGTTAAAAATTGCAGGGAAATAATAAGGCTTGTAGAAAACATAACATTAATGTGTACAGTTTTTTTTTTATAAAGAAAGTTTCGTTAATAACTCTTTAAACACTACTTGGATTTTAACAAAATAACTAAGGCGATTTAAAAATGTTTATTGAAAGAAATCACCAAGTTAATTTCTATTATTTTCCGGATATATATATATACATATATGAGTGACGGGGAAAATCCAGCTTTGCCAAAATTCGATAATACGGATTTTCGAAATTCGAAATCAAAAATATTTTTAAAATTTAAGTTTTAGATTTTGAAATCCGAAATTCGGATTTTCGGATTTCTGGTTAATCCGGATTTATATCACGTCACTAATATTTGTGCATTTTTTTAAACTGGTAAGCATACAAGTTATCAAACAAAGTAACTCATAATACTTTACTTCTAACTTGTTGTTATTATACCGCTTTGATTTTGTATTAATGTTTCGTTTAATACAGTTTAAGCATTGTGTGTTCGTCGTAATCATACTTTGGGAATACTCAATTAATCTTAAAACGAATAATAATATTATTATATACCATATTAATATACAATTCAATTTGTATGCTATTCCCGTTTTATTGATTGACTTCCGATTGTGCCATAACCGTTGATAATAATATAATAATCCTCTCGCGAAACATATTGCAATGCGCATAATAATATATTACTTTATATTGCCATTGGGATGGTGACAGGTCGCGTCGAAATATTTGTTTTATTGATAATTTCTGCTCGGAATAATTATTGTATTGTATCGACTTTCAATATTATAATAATTGTGAAAAAAAAAATCGTGAACCGCTGATGGGTATATTATAGACCTTTGTTGTAGTTGTATTTACGGAAAGTATACCAAGTTTATTATATACTAACCGAAAAAAATTGGCATCGATCAGAAAAACCGAACATATTAGTTAAACCTATTAGTGGATTTATAGACACAGGTGTAATTTCAATAAAACGTCGTATGAAAAAAAACCAGGACGTCTATTGAAAGTTATACCTTTAAAATACGTATTGTAGATTTCAGGATTTCTCCAGCCTCACTCCTAAGGACAAATATTTTGACTATGTGCAATTTATAAATTACACACTTAGGTAATCCATTGAATATATTATACGAGTGGTGTATAATAATTATTGTATTATTCAAGTATAGATGCTTGGGCTGATACGATTTCAATTAAAATATACTTCTCACAACGCGTAAAAAAAACCGATGTTTAGAAATAATTATTTATAATTACTATCCGCGGAGCACACGCAAATTAAACGTTTACAATTTGTGTATATATTATGTATAAAAATTAACTGTGAAATGTGAATTTTCATCTTTAATCGTGTTTTTTTTTTTTATTCATTTTATAATGTATATAATATAGTATAATACGACATCTAAGATATCTGTTTGTAATTTTGAGATTATTTATTGTTGGTATTGATATTGATTAGAGGCCGTTGAAATTCGGTCGCTGTATTAAACTGTCGCTTCCGTATAATAGGGATCTTTAATTCGGTGGCGTGACGAAGACTGTTTTTTGAAATCCGCGCCTCTGCGGAAATCGGTGGGTGTGTCGTGGGTGGCTGAACGCGTAATACAGTATTAGAACCATATTATAGAATAGTGAGTTTAAACTCTTTGAAGTAATAACAACAATAATTTATAATAGTAATTTATTACCGGTTTGCTCGTAAAAGAGGAGGTGACGGTGTTGGAGATAAGTATATAAAACTGTTGGGCCTCACACAAAACGACTGTACTACAAGCCACTGTAAACTGTAAACTATCTTTGATTTTTAAGAACGTACTGGCAATTAACATGCCATCTTTCTTTATAGCTTATTTACAACTAAGACTCGCTAATCAGTGTCCGGTTCGACCCGCTCCACGTCTTTTGTAACTTGGTCTTCCCGCCTTAAACTTGGACGTTTCAATTGGTCTTCTTGAATACTATATTGTACCGTGTATAATATAAGCGAGCCGTTTTTAAAAAACCTATTAAGAATTTTATACGTTAAAATACGAAAATCATTTCTATTTGCTTTTAATTTATGAACTTTATTAAACGGGCAGCCGTCCAATAACATACGATTATATAAATAATCCGCATCTCTCCGATCGAATTATGCGCGCGGTCGACCTAACGGAATTTGTGAACTTTTTCAACGTGAACTAGTGAATTTTCGGAATCTAATAAAATCCAATTTGTACCGTAACGAATTTTACTTTATTTTTTTCGGTTTAAGAATCGATCCGACGATGCCCGTCAAATAACGACCACTACAGCTGCACGTGCAGACTAGTATTTTCAGTTGCATATACAAAATCCCCGACGATTATTGTGTTGTGATTTTTAATTTGTTTTTAATTCTGAACGCAATGAAAAATGTATTGTTTTATTAATGGAGATGTTCTGATCTCCATGGTTTTGATGTGTGCTTTTTTTCTCCTTCTGTTTGTTGATGGTTTTTCTATTAAATGTCTTATTCGAAAAATGACAAAACAACTTTTGTTGCATTTAATTGGTGTATTGGCGAGGTCATTTTTTCGATTTCAAAGGTATCAAAGCAGTTTCCCTAATAACCGTAAAAAAAACATTGGAAAACCGGTAAAGTTATCGGACATAACGGTTCCATTATTTTCGATTTCATTTTTTTGTTTTAATTCAGATTTTTCAAAATATTCTGGCGATTCTTCAGTTTTCTGTAGGCTTTTGATATTTTCGCGTTTTAAAGTTTCTGTTTGGGTACTATTCGGATCAAATTATTTAGACATTGTTGTAGATTGTTGTTGACGTTAATTATAAGTTGTACTCAGTGTTTCAAAAAAGAATAAGTTGAATATAAAGTTATAATTTTTTTCTTACGCTTCTTTTAAATTAAACTTTTGACGAAAATCGGAAAAACTGTAAAATTTCAAAACATTTTAATCGAACTTCGCTCAGGATAGTATTTAATTTTTATCGTTGAGATTTATAAAAGCGTACAGACATAAATAAAATCACTGTCGTATATCTTACATGTTCCCGATTTCCCACCTTCAACAGTGGCGCACCCGTCAGCAGTTGCTCTCTCTCTCTCTCCTTTTTTTTTTTTATCTATAATATTATTTTCTATAGACGGCCACCTCCGATTCAATTAAATTCTTTTTTTTTTTTATAAAAATCACAGCTATATAATTTTAACGATTGATTTCGTTTGTTAAAAAAATAATAACTATATATATAATATAATAATACTATATATTATGTAGTAATAATATATTGATGGGCATTATACTATCGCTGTGCATTGATATAGTTATTCATTTTTACTACCTAACGGTCACATCTCGGTGATTTTTTTACACTATAGAAAATTACGTAATCGCAACAATAAGTCATTGTTCGGAATAGTATACGGAGTGTTTTACTCGAACTCGAATGTAACACGAAATATTTCGCCCGGTTATGGAATTGAAATGGAAATATCGGAAGAACCTATAATTTTTTTTTTTTTAAGTGAACAAAATTTGACCACATGATGAGTACGGGGTACTGTTTTCTGGCGAGATACGATTATAAGTCGAGCCGTTTTTATAGTAATACGCTTTCGCATTTTATCGGTTGATGGAAAAATATAACTAATTTGTGTACCAAAAATAACGTGTTTCATGACCTAATTGTTCATTTTATACAGCGTGTTTTGTTCAGATTATTTTGCAATTCTGATATTTTTAGGGCATTTTTTAGAATTTCATACATTTGTTGAGCATATAATATTATTTATAGTTTTCCTACATTTTCAAGACTTTTTCATTTCAACAACTTGAGAATTAAAAATTATTGACTAAAAATATTATTTTTTTTTTTTAAATCTCAACTGACTAGCTGATAGCTTTTTAGTACCTTTGTATCAAAGAAAATGTTTTTAATAATACTTGTTTTTATTATTATTATTTTTTTTTTAAGTGTGTATTTTAAGGGCATATTTTAGTAATTTTCATAGTATAACAGCTTACATATTAATGGTTTTTTAGTGCGTACGAAGATCTGCCCTAGTTATAAGTGCGAAAATAATCGAAGTATTACACATATCTATACACAAAAACCAAGGATTGAAATATTTTGAAAAATCCATAAAAAATTATAAAATTCCGTCGTGCAGTCTTTATAGTCTATGGAAATTGTCGAAACAAAAAACTATCGTAGTAATTATCTAAATGTCCGTCCGTTCAAATAATAATTCACGTTAACATTCGAATGAAATATACTGTATATTTTTTTTGACGAATTTTTCGTTTGCATATTGTCAAAACGGCATGGTTTAATAAACTGTACGATTTTTTAGTCGGAAAATTGATTCGCGTAGTTTTCCAAATTTAAATCGTCGGGAATATTATCGTCGCGTTAAAATGTGTAGAAACAATTTTCAGTTCGGTTTTTTTGCGCGCGTATATAAAGAAACATTATATTATTAAAATATTATTATATCGTTCGCATTGTGTTCTTCATGTCCTTGCCCCAGTTTAGGTCATTGTATGAAAACATTATCAAATATTATTATTTGTTTTGGCCTTTACTTTAAGAGGAGCTATACTATTTTAATATAGTACTGCTATACTAACTATATTTTATTGTATATGGTCGTACGTATTTCGTAATCGTATGTTACGTTTTATTATTATTTTTTTTTTAATTAAATTGAATCTATCGAATATTTTACCGTTATTTCGGTCCGTATCGGTTTTATCTCGCGTATTGTAATAAAAATAAATAATAGTTTGTTTAGAACGTGAATAATTTCCTACGCTATAAAAAAACTATCGGCCTTACTATTCGTTTCGAATCGTAAACATACAGCATGCTCGTCGAGTTTGTGTCTCTTGTTATGATAAAATAAATACCGTCTACTACTGCAGTTAGATTAGGTTGAAAGCGAAAAAAAAAATAAAACGCCTCTCGAACGGCGGCGAATCGTTCGATAATCCGTGAATAAGATTTGCGGGTTTTTTTATTATATTGTTATTCTCCTTTCTCCTCTCCCTTTTGAGTTTTTTGTCGATATTATCTCAAAAACGTGTAACTTCTCTGGAAAAAGCGCTATCACACAATTTTTTTTTTTTCGTAGCAACCGTTCGCTGCATTGCACCAGTCCGCGGTGGAGAAATTCAATACTTTTTTCTTTTTACGAAATTATTATACGTTTATCGGACAAATTAAAAAAAAAAAATCGATCCTTTCATCGCTCACAGTTATATATATATGTACTGTCGAGTATTTCGGACGTTTTTGGGGCGGACTATAAAAAAAAAAACGAGCCAATCAACGATTACAATATGTACTATTTGATTATCGGTTTAATATATTTAAAGCTCACGGATTATCATATTTTACCCTATACGGTGGCGTACCGGTAAATATAAAAATTTGACGTTTGACATTTTTATATTACCGGCTATATCATGTTCGATATTAGACTACTTGCCCGTATAGACTTGCCGAACTTGTGGGCCGAACGAAAGGCGTTGAGAATTTCTAATATCGTCCGCCTCATCATTTCCTATGCAATACGAACTTTGCGTACAATTTGTTTGGCTTGAAAATCAACTCGAATAGATTGACAGTGAACTCGGATAGCTATGTTATACAATTAATTTTTTTCGTAATCGCATAAATAGCGATTTATATATTATTTGACTTTAAAATTGGTCGATGGTTTAAAACGATTTTTTTATTAATTTTATGCGACGACACAGCTGCGGCTTTGCTGTAGTATAAACGGTGTTATCAGTCACAGTTGAGGTACGCCGAATTGAGTAACTACTATACCAACTCTATGGCACACCGTCGGGCAGGAACGTGATTACACTGGTTGATATCAATTTTTATACTCCAACTTGGCCGTAAATGTCAGCACTCGTTAAACATTTAAAAATAACAATCGATACTATCTTGTTCAGACGGGTTTTGGGGTCTAACCTTTTTTTAACCATACATTTTAATAAAAAAAAATCTATGGAGGAGTTTCAAAACTCGAAAATCCCCCCCTCCCTACCCCCGGCTATGCCACTGGATACTATCACTATTGAGATAATATACTATATTGTGGTATAATAGACAGTATTGAGATAGCTACTATCTTCTGCTAGGTCAACTATCGTTCAACGAATAATAGTGCGATAGTTCAAAGATTGCGACTATTTCGTATCACAGCTGCTTTACGCTACAAGAACAACAAAAACAAAACCGTACAATATTTTTCATAATATTCTATACGAGAACTTTGTGTGTTTTTTGTATATGTTTACGCGTTCTATGCGACAAACACGTAATGGTGTGTCGTCTGACACACGATATAAATTATTATTATAATTTAACTACAACAGGGTGACTGTGAAATAATAAATGCAAATTCATGAAAGTCTGTTCTAAGTATACGTGTAACGATACAACTAATTGGCGTAGTGTATACAGTTGCAGTTTTTCCACGTTTTTTGTTCTCTTTATAGTTTTTTGGTTTATTTTGTTTTTTTTTTCTATTGAAACAATATCACAGCTTGGCAATTATCATAATAATATTATATTGTTTGGCTTAGTTACACGCACGTACACAAGTCAACAAAAGTCAACATTTTTTTTTTTTTTTTTGTTCACGACGCGATGTCTGTTCTATACAATAATAATAATATAAACCGTGAACACATATTATACTTGTTTTACACGCAAACATTCCGATATACAACTATTATTTATTTTTAATTATTTAACCGAATCGTTTATTCGAATAATTTCCGTCGTTCGTTTATTATATTAATATTTTTGTGCGTCATTCAATACATGCTGCTCCGTATTAGTCCCCTCATTGATAGTCAGCAACGCAACCACGAGTGCACACAATTATCAGGCATGTTCGGCAATCGGAACTGTTATCAATTTTAACGGTTTCGGTTTTTGAAACGGTTTTTAAAATGTTTCCGTT